GCACTTTTATTGCAGTAGTGAACTGCTGCTTTTGAACAACACTTTGCACTAAAAAATACTGTTCGTCGCTATAGTAATAGTAGGCATTTTATGTTGAATTTTATTTTTACTTAAAACAATTACTCCCTTTTTATCGGTTATGTGTTATGTTTTAACATTCAAGAAACAGAATTTATGTTTATTTTCAGAAGGTTTTTGAATGCGATATGTATTTTTTCTTTATTCCACATAAACTATATTTTTTGCAGAGATTTTTCGGCACAATTCGACAAGCAGGTTGTGCCAATGGACATCCCTTATCTATAACTCTTTGCAGCTATACCGAATGTTATCGGTTTATAAATTATTAAAACCTCCGAAATTTGGTAATTGCACACGGATGCAGGAAAATAGTAATGCAAATCATTCGTTATCATTTAATGACTCCAAAAATATTTTTGAAACAAATACCAGACTGCGGGAAAAATCATGTTGAGAAAATAAAAAGGAAAATTGAATATATTTTAGATACAGATTCACCGATTAACGAAATAGACGAACAACTATTTGAAGATGTCACTACAACTAAAATTGTTGACAACATCATTTATTACTTAGCTGGATTTGTCGCAAAAAAAATTGTACAATACTTCAAAATGTAATATTTGCCTTGAACAGTTATATAACAAAGAAGATCCATGTTCTAGTACATCTGAATTTACTAGTACAAAATCCAGGGAGTGGTTAAACCATCCAGATTTGTTAATGTTTAATATGTTCCGATGGGTGGAAGGGATATTTATGAAATATATCGATTTTGTGGATGTATTCGATGCAACAATTGAAGAGCTATTCGCAACAAAAATTTGTATGACTATTTACTTTCCTTTTTCTTGTGAAGAGCATAGAATGGAAATATTTTCAAAGGCAATATATTTTTACACAATTATGTAAATTACACAATTTTATAAACAGAAACAAGAGAAAACAACCAAGGCATGTGCAGAAAAAAGGAAAGAGTCTCGATTACAGACTACGTAATAATGGTAACTTTTTATTTCTCAAACAGTAAAGCAGATAATGGTTAATGGATATTTTTTAGTTGTCTTGTGAAACGAACAGAAGTGAGTGATACTAATATAATATGTGAAGGCGAAAAGAACTATCTTTAACAACGAGTTTACATTAATCTTTTTAAATAAATTATTATTTTAAAAATGTTTAAAGTTTTTATTTTAATACAACGGATAATTAGTTTTGATGTTTTTTGGACCTAAATGGCTTTAATTCCGACAAATACTTCTCCCGTCTCTTTCCCGTCCGTGCGATTAAATGATGGCCGCCCTCTTCTGTTTCTCTCACTCCAAATCTGTGACTAGTTGGGGACACGTTTCACGCGCTCGTCGGAACACCTAACTTATTATACACCGTGGTATGGTCTGATAGAAAGTGGACCCCTTACTGAACAGAAATAAAATTAGTTCTTTGAATGAGAAGAGTGCGGGTGGAGGGGGCGGGATTAGTACTTGCTAAGATAAGACTGATTTTTGCAGATGTCATACCCTGTAAGAAAAAAGAGGGTGGGTGGGTGGGGATAGTACTTGCGAAGATAAGACTGATTTTGGCAAATGAGATTTCTTCTAAGAAAAGAGAGGGTGGGTGGGCGGGGCTAGTACCTGCTAAGATTAGACTGATTTTAGCAAATGACGGATCCTTTAAGAAATTTAATTAACTTATTATTAGAGTAGGCACTAGAGGCTTCAAAGCATTTAAAAAAAAACGGGGTCCCAAAATACCCAAGAGTCTCCTGAATTAACTTTTTCAAGTTTATCCAACAACAAAACACCAGATTAGTGATCAAAAAATTGTGTACCAACTCAAAAATACATTAAGTTCACAAGTCGAGATCTAAAGTTCAAAACTGAGAAACACCATGGATTAAAGAGATCATACCAAAATTATTTTGTATAATGAAACAGGGTGTCATAGAATTAGTGCCCCAATTTTTGATCACGATGTATATATACAGGGTAAATCACTAAGCACACATTTCTAGATCTCTTTAATTATTATTAAAAATAGAAAAAAAAGTCAAAGACCAAAGTCACACCGTTCTTTGAGGACTACTCTAAAATAATTTTTAACTATACAGAGTGTTTTGTTTTTAAACAAAATTTACTATATTAAATTTGAAAACTGGTGAGTCTTTGACGTATCAAAAATTGTCAAATGTTTTAAAACCCTACGTTTAAAATGTTCGCAGTTAATTTTAGGTCCCCTGGTGTTTTATTTTCGGATAAATTTAAAGGAATCTGGTGTTTTGTTGCTGGATGAACTTGAAAAAATCTTTTGAGCTTTTAGAGTTTTATTTTCTATGAATTAAAAAAAGTCTTGAGTGCCGCATAATGTTATAATTAAATTTTTTAGAGGATACGTTATTTGCTAAAATCAGTCTTATCTTAGCAGTTACTAGCCCCGCCCACCCACCCTCTCTTTCTTAGGGGGCGTGTGATTTGCCAAATTCAGTTTTATCTTAGTAGTTACTAGCTCCGCCCACCCACCCGTTCTTTCCTTGGAAGGTATGTTATTTGCCAAACTCAGTTTTATTTAGAGATCTTACTAAATGTTTTTTTTTATTTATTAATGAAAAATAGCTTATTTTATTAATGACAATGCGGTTGTTATGGTTATTGTCATAAAAAAAATAAAAGGTGGACTTTGGTCACGATCGTTACAAAGAAATCAGAAAGTAAACCAATTTTACTTTTATAAAATGGCGTTTTTTGTAATCTACATCATCAAAATTTTTTTTATTATTTTGGAACTCCCGAAACCCCCGTACATAACGTACTGAAGGGTTAATCCGCGATTTTGCAGACACCCGGTATTATCCTCTGTTTCCAGGAGACAAAATCAATCAAATTTCATTTTCTTTTAACGTAAATTCACTTTGATATACCGCCGCTGATGCTGATTATTATTATCTGTACGTGCTCAATAGTCGAATTCCTTCGAAGTTAGGCGTATACTGAGAACACATTTTTTCAGTCAGGGGTTGTCATAAAATAAAAATAAATAAATTTTATTATAATTTTTATTTAAAAAAAAAAGGGTGTATTTTGGGTTGCCTAAATTCAATAAATTTGGCACCTCAGGTTTCAATACTGACAAACTAAGAGAAACTTTTTATAACTATTATTCCTTTACTTTTAATAAATAAAACAACCATCAGGTCAGGTCAGGTCAGGTTAGTACTTGCTAAGATAAGACTGATTTTTGTAGATGTCATACCCTCTAAGAAAAAAGAGGGTGGGTGGGCGGGGCTAGTACTTGCTAAGATAAGACTGATTTTGGCAAATGAGATGTCTTCTAAGAAAAGAGAGGGTGGGTGGGCGGGGCTAGTACCTGCTACGATTAGACTGATTTTAGCAAATGACGGATCCTTTAAGAAATTTAACTAACTTATTACAAGAGTAGGCACTAGAGGCTCCAAAGCATTAAAAAAAAAACGGGGTCCCAAAATACCCAAGAGTCTCCTGAATTAAATTTTTCAAGTTCATCCAACAACAAAACACCAGATTAGTGATCAAAAAATTGTGTACCAACTCAAAAATACATTAAGTTCACAAGTCGAGATCTAAAGTTCAAAAATGAGAAACACCATGGATTAAAGAGATCATACCAAAATTATTTTGTATGATGAAACAGGGTATCATAGAATTAGTGCCCCAATTTTTGATCACGATGTATATACAGGATTAATCACTAAGCACACATTTCTAGATATCTCTTTAATTATTCAAAATAGAAAAAAAAAGTCAAAGACCAAAGTTACACCGTTCTTTGAGGACTCTACTCTAAAATAATTTTTAACTATACAGAGTGTTTTGTTTTTAAACAAAATTTACTATATTAAATTTGAAAACTGGTGAGTCTTTGACGTATCAAAAATTGTCAAATGTTTTAAAACCCTTAAAACCTTTAAAACGTTTAAAATGTTCGCAGTTAATTTTAGGTCCCCTGGTGTTTTATTTTCGGATAAATTTAAAGGAATCTGGTGTTTTGTTGCTGGATGAACTTGAAAAATTTGTTTGAGCTTTTAGAGTTTTATTTTCTATGAATTAAAAAAGTCTTGAGTGCCGCATAATGTTATAATTAAATTTTTTAGAGGATACGTTATTTGCTAAAATCAGTCTTATCTTAGCAGTTACTAGCCCCGCCCACCCACCCTCTATTTCTTAGGGGGTATGTGATTTGCCAAATTCAGTTTTATCTTAGTAGTTACTAGCCCCGCCCACCCACCCGTTCTTTCCTTGGAAGGTATGTTATTTGCCAAACTCAGTTTTATTTAGAGGTCTATAAATGTCTTACTAAATGTTTTTTTTTATTTATTAATGAAAAATAGCTTATTTTATTAATGACAATGCGGTTGTTATGGTTATTGTCATAAAAAAAAAATAAAAGGTGGACTTTGGTCACTGTCGCTACAAAGAAATCAGAAAGTAAACCAATTTTACTTTTATAAAATGGCGTTTTTTGTAATCTACATCATCAACATTTTTTTTATTATTATTTTGGAACTCCCGAAACCCCCGTACATAACGTACTGAAGGGTTAATCCGCGATTTTGCAGACACCCGGTATTATCCTCTGTTTCCAGGAGACAAAATCAATCAAATTTCATTTTCTTTTGACGTAAATTCACTTTGATATACCGCCGCTGATGCTGATTATTATTATCTGTACGTGCTCAATAGTCGAATTCCTTCGAAGTTAGGCGTATACTGCGAACATATTTTTTCAGTCAGGGGTTGTAATAAAAAAATTTTATTATGATTTTTATTTCAAAAATGGGGTGTATTTTGGGTTGCTTAAATTCCATAAATTTGGCACCTGAGGTTTCAATACTGACAAACTTAAGAGAAACTTTTATAACTAATATTCCTTTACTTTTAATAAATAAAATAACCATCAGGTACAATAATGTACAAATCCTCGTACAAGACAACAATTACCACTAGTCTAGTTACAACCGCTGGGGCTAACTTTATTAAAATAATCCCTCCAGGTTTATAATTTATTAAACAATCACTGCATATTACTATAATTACTTTTCGACCTCAGCACCGACTTCAGCCCGTGCGGAGAATTCGGCGGCGTATAATCCGGATCGGGTATATACGGTGGCGCAATGTGATTCAAAGGAGATCTCTTTCCTTTATTTTTTCCAATAGTAGCAGTTCTCTGGGCGATGGCTTCAGAAAACGACATCGGGTTTTTATTGCTTGGGTTGTTCTTGTTGGTGGTGGGTGTCTTGTACGGGTTGCCAGGGGGCGGCGAGTAAACATTACTAGGAGTTTTGTAGTTAGCGTTGTCGATGGGTTTAATGTAGGACTCGGTCGGAGGGGTAGAATAGATATGTTCGTTGGTCATATCCATGGGGTAGAAAGACTGACTTCGTCTAAATCCCTGGTTGTCGTAGACGTTGTCGGGTGAGTTCGTGTTATCGTTGGGGCTTGCCCAGAAGTCTTTCACCGAACCGTTAAACCAAGGGGGGTTGATTCTAGCAACGTCACTATTAAATATATTTAACAATCGATTTAATAAAAACTTACTCGTTTGATTCATATCCGTGGATTATCGGTAAAGTCGTGTTATTTTCCTAAAATTTAACATTTTAGTTTGAAAAATTAAAACTTTGTTAGTCGTACTTGAAGGATCTTAATTGTAAATTTCGTCATGATGGCGGCAAATACGACGTTGAGAATCCAGAGGATGTAGCCGCGCGCAGCGAGCGACATAACTATACCGTAGGTGGTCACAATCTGGAAAAAATTGTATTCTATGGGAATTTGGTTATGTTGTAGTCACCTCATTTGGAACTAGATTTTCTTCAATAGTGACATAGTCAGCCACGATTAAACCGGTGAGCACAATATCCACTATTGATGTCAGTATGACTGTGGCTGACCACGCTCCAAACAGGGTTTTCGTCAGCTGCCACTGATTGTGGATCATCGCTACAACATTAAATTGTGTCCATATTATCGACTTTGTAAATGGCTAGTCTTACCCCAGATGATACTGGCGGAAGTACATGTCCAAATGGCTGAAAATATAACATAGAACCACACGAAAATGATAAAGTCGTCTGGTTTTATTATGATGCTGATATTGGTCAAATTTGAATTATTGAAATCTAGAATTTGTTTTGTTTTTGTTGTGATCAAAAATTCGAAGATGTGTGTTACCTGATTTAAGGAATAGGCAGTATAGTAAGTTGCTATAGTCCGACCCACCTACTACTGTGCCATTCTCAATTTCAATGTTACAGCCGCTCACGAATATACTTTCGAAGTAGCACAATATACTCAAAATTGAGAGAACAAGCCAAGCAATCCCTTGTATCTATAAACAAAATAAAATAATTGTTATTGTCGGTGTTTTTTGTTTTACATACCAGTCCCAAAATCCCAGCGGTGTAAGCCAACGGCTTCGTCAGTAATTTATTGACTTCTTTTCTGTGTTGTTCGTGCGTCATTTTCAAAACTTGTGTGTCACCAGTACATGTTGAAACAATCGAGGCTGAAATTCTAGTTACCCAATATGAAACATAAATCCCTGTTATTTTCTTATCAGATAAGAAAAACGTAGTTAATTTATTGTGAATGATACACTAGATAAGGGTATTGTGCAGATAAAGTCTTAAATAAAATGGGACCTGTAACATAATTCAAAAAATTCCTCTAATTATTGGGTTTTGCGTTTCAATTTTATTGCTTATCAAACTAAAGCGATAACTTGGATTGTAATAAGAAGTGCAATAAAGTCGTTTATGAACACCTAATTTCACGGTGGCTTGACATTTCACACGTTTTTTTTTTTTTTTTTAATAATAATACTTTATTTCCATAGATTACATACAGTGTGGAAAATCGTCAGAACATGAAAGACAATTAGATAAATATATACAGACATATGCTACACAAAATCTTTTACACAGTATAAACATCTAGTAACAAGATAGTCTCTCAATCTGCGCCTAAAGGCGTCAATAAATAAAAGATTTTTTATTTCGTTAGGTAATTTATTATACAAGTCAAGTCCTAAAGAACAAAGTGAATTTTTTGTAACGTTCAATTTTTTTGTAGGAACGTGGAATAAGTTCTTTTGTCTAGTGTTTTTGTCGTGGACTTCACTATTTTTAACAAATTTTGTTTTATTTTTATGTACGTACATACAACATTCAAAAACATACAAGGACGGTACAGTCATTAAATTATATTTTTTGAAAAGTTCGCGGCATGAGTGCCTTTGAGAAACATTTAAAATTGTACGCAAAATTCTTTTTTGTATAACAGAGACATCTTGTGCAGATGGAGACATACCCCAAAAACAGATGCCATATCTTAAACGGGACTCTACTTGTCCATAGTAAATCATTAACAAGTGATTCAAATCCAACAAAGACCTAACATTTCTAATCAAACAGCATACTTTTGAAAGCTGAACGATAAGTCGATTGCAATGTAATGTCCAATTCAGTTTATCATCTAAAGTTAGTCCTAAGAATTTTACAGTATTTGTTTTATCTAAAATCGTATTATTAAGCATTATTCTTACGTCATTTATGTCAGCTTTTACATTATGTTGATGGAATCTGAGATATTTGGTTTTTGTTTCATTTAAATACAGGCTATTGGAGTTAAAATAGTTGGACATATTTTTAGTGGTATTGTCACATTTAAGTTGCAGTTCGTGAGAGAGTCTGTCAGAAATGATTATTGTGGCATCGTCAGCATAAAGTGTAGTATTTACACTACTTTCAAGATTGTGGTTTAAATCATTGATATAGCATATAAATAATGTTGGCCCTAATATGGACCCCTGAGGGACTCCAAGACTTACTTCCATAATATTTGAAAATGCATTTTTTGTTGAATTAGTATTTGTGTCAAAATATTTGTACGCTACATATTGTGTTCGTTTTAGTAGATACGATTGTATCCATTCTAACGGAACGCCGCGAATGCCGTAATTTTCCAGTTTATTTAAAAGACGCTTATGACAGATAGTATCAAACGCCTTAGTTAAATCATAGAATATTCCAATTGGGTACTCCTTTTTCTCTAAACAGGATAAAATGTGGTCATAAAAATGATTTAGGGCGTGAAATGTCGATGTATTAGGCCTGAAACCGAACTGATTTTTTGTTAAAATATTGTTACGTTCAAGGTGTGTTTGCAATCGCGATAGAAAGCAGTATTCGTATATTTTTGAAAAGCTGGATGTTAGTGCTATTGGTCTGTAATTATTCATGTCTGAAGAATTATCTTTTTTATGAAGTGGTATGACTTTATTAAGTTTTATTTTTTCGGGAAAACAGCCAGTTTCAAATGACAAGTTGACCAGGTACGTAAATTGCGAACTTAATATGGGGACTGTTTTTTTTAATAAAAATGCAGGCACATCGTCAAAACCGCCAGAGCCTTTTGCATGAAGCCTAGCCAAAAGCAGACTTGACAATTCGCTGACGGTGAACGGAGTCAAAAATAAATTTTTGCAGTCTCTGAAACTTAGAGTGTTTGAAGGATCTGAACTCTTTATCTGATTTACTATGTTTCTCGGTGCATTGACAAAAAAAGAGTTAAATGCATCTGCAATATTGTGCGCGTTTTGTATTACTTGGTTATCCAAGTTTAACTTAATGTTACTATGCGGCTGTTTTTGCTGGTTTGTTACCGCATTGAAGATGCCCCAAGCAGTCTTTGTTATGTTATCCGATTTATCAAGTTTATTTTGATAAAATTTTCTTTTTGTTTGATTGATCAAAGCACAATGTTCCTCTTTAGCCAATTTATAGATCGGTTCTAGTTCACTAAAAGATTTTTGTAGGATAAATAAATCTCTTAGTTTTGTACTGGACAATTTGACCTCGTTATTTAACCAGGATTTTCCTTCCCGAGCATTAATTTTTTTAAAAGGAAAATGTTGTTCGAAATAGTTTATAAAAATTTTATGGAAGTAATTAAAAGCTTCGGTACTGTCCTTATATGTGTACAAAGGAGTCCAGTTTTCATAATAAAGATCCCTTAAGAAGTTTTGAATTTTCAAATCGTCATATATGCGAGTGAATTTATAAGAACTTATATCACTTTGTATTTTTATCAAATCAGTTTGAAAGTAAGCAATCCTATGGTCCGACAAAACAGTATCCTGAATACAGCAAAAATCAGAGTTACTAAGATTGGTGAAAAGATGATCAAGTGTATTACTACCTCTAGTGGGACGATTAACTTTATTTGTAAGACCAAATGACGCAGAAATTTGATTTAAATACTCAAATTGTTTTTTATCTCGTTTTGGATCAATATTAAAGTCACCGCAAAGTATAAAATAATTATTTCTTTTAAAGTATAAATCTAAGATAATACCAATATTATTGTAAAAAATTTGAATATCGCTGTCAGGAGACCTGTAACAAGTAAATAAGAATATTTTTTTCTCTCCAAAGGACCAAGATATTCCACAAATTTCAAAATGTTTTTCCACGCAATGTTCTGATAAATTTAAATTTAGCACATTAACTGATAAGTCAGTAGCACACCAAATACCAACACCACCACCCTTGCAATTTTTCCTGGAGAATGATGCTGCCAGTTTATACCCCTGGATATGTACTGCTTCTACGTTGGTAACAGTGCACCAGGTTTCAGTAAGACACAAAAATTTTATCTTACCATATTCTTGGAGAATATCCGTATATAATATGTCACATTTATTTGCTGTGATGGCTTGACAGTTTAATAAGAGAAGATCATAGTTTTTATTTGCTGAAGACTCCCGTTGTTTCTTTATCATGTATGGATTAAAGAGATAATGGAACTACCGAACCCGTTACATTCACGTTTATGTAGATAAATAAAGCTGAATTATTTATCTCTTCCAGGGCGTCGTCGAGTACTACGTGAAATGGAAAGGCTGGAGCCAGAAGCACAACACGTGGGAGCCCGAGGAGAACATCCTCGACTTGCGGCTCATCGACCTGTTCGAGCGGTCGCAGAAGGTGGACGTGCACAAGCGCGGCCCCAAGAAGAAAGACCGCCACGCCGAGAAGCAACAAGTGGAGACCGAGGACGAAGGGCGCGCGAGCGGCGAAGACAGCCAGGACGACACAGTGACCAGCGCCGAGCAGAGCAAGCCGACGCCCGCCGCCAACAAGAAGGAGTCGACGCCGAACCCCGACGACGAGGACACGCGGGCCGGGTCCGAGGTGTCCTCCAAGTCGCCAGTGCCAACGGGAGTGGACGACAACGAGAATTCGAATAGCTCGAGCAGCGAGGACAGGAGGCCGATTCTGGCCAGGCTGGAGATCGGGGCCAAGCGGAAGGCCGAAGTGTTGTCGAAGGAGAGCGGGAAGATCGGGGTTACGATCACGACGAGCAGTCCGACGAGCTCGAGTCCGCCACCGAGCAAGGTATTTGGGAATAAGGGGTTTTGCGAAATTTTGAATATCGGCGAAAATAATCCGGTTTCTGACGTTCAGCGCGATAAAGGATTATGGTATAATCGGGCGGTTTAGCAAAAATTTTGCACAATGAAATCACAATGAAATTTATATTTGTAGCAGGAGATGATGGGTACTTATGGTTAAAATAAGCCACTGCATCACTCTGTATTCAGATCAAAATAATAAATACTATGAAAGCAGTAAATAAATTTCACCTTATTAGCCCCAGATGTTCCAATCAAGGATTTGTGGGGGATTATCATCATTTTTTTGTGGCAATAAATAATAATAGGCCATTGTTATGTGTGTTATATGGCAGGTTAAACGTAAATTCGAATCTTATACGTTTACGTCGTAGAAAATAGTTAATAAAACGTATAATCAATTTGAAGAAACAGTAAACCAAAATAGCGTCCTTGTTAGTTTTTTGGGTAATACGTACCGAAGTTGAATAAAAACTGCTTCAAAGGTGGCTATAAATTTATCGCAGGACGTCGTAACTTAACAACACTGCACCCGCGCTTGGTAGTAAATTGTCGCGCAGATAAAAGTGATTTTGTTTACAATTGTTTCTTTATGTTCAACATTGATGACGATTATTGCTCATTTTTATCGTAAATTCAAAATTTATAGTCGACGTTGTATTGTCCTTCCCGAATAACATTTTTCTCTGAGCGACTGGCTATTTTCACGTTTTGTCGATGTTTTATGCATTTTTTGTATTTTTCGATTTCTCAGTTTTCCTATATTTCAGTTTTCTGATTTTTTAATTTTTCAATTTTTCAATTCTTGGCGTTTCTGAATTTTCGATTCCTCAATTTCTCGAATAATCGATTTTTTGATTTTTTTGATTTGTCCCTTTTTCGACTTTTATTTTAGACTTTCGATTTTGATTTTGGACTTTTCTGTTTTTTAATTTTTCTATTTTTCAATTTGTCGGTTTTTAAATTTTTCGATTTTGGACTAATTGATTTCTTGATCTATATTCAATTTTGAATATTCGTTTTTTCGAACATTTAGATTTTCCAAATTTTGGATTTTTTAGTTTTTCAATTTTTTTTAATTTTTCAATTTTTTGATATTTTCGAGTTCTCCATTTTTCAATTCTTGGCGTTTTTGAATTTTCGATTTTACGATTTCTCATTTTCTCGATTAATATTTTTTTTTAATTTTTCGATTTTTTTAAATTTTAGATATTTTGATTTTTGGATCTTCATTTTACGGTTTTTCGCCTTCTCGCTTTTAGATTTTTCTGTTTTTTAATTTTTCGATTTATCAAGTTTTCGATTTGTCGCTTTATTTAAGTTTGGATTTTACAAATTTCGGATTTTTTAGTTTTTAGATATTTCGGCTTTTCGATTTTCTTTTTTTTTATTATATTTGTCTAAATACATTTTCTTGTAGATTTCGAGCTCTAGAACTCACTTCCGCCCACGTTTCTTTGATAACTTCAACCATTTTTCGGGAATCGACCGTTGAACTATCGAAATTTTTAGAAATTTTCAAAAATTCGCATTTTATACCGATTCATTCGAAAATGTTGATCCGTGACCATCAACACGCTATATTTTTGGAATCAGCTTGTCGAGATCTACGTCCCTGAATTTTTTCACAATTTTTAGACAACTTTTTTAAAAGTGAAAATTTTCCAATGGTCCCCCCTTCTTCAAATTTCGGCTAAATTTTGACATTTTCGAAACTTAACTAAATACATTTTCTTGTAGATTTCGAGCTCTAGAACTCACTTCCAGCCTGGTTTTTTTGATAACTCCAATCGTTTTTCCAGAATCGAACGTCGAAATATCGAAATTTTTAGAAATTGTCAAAAATTTACATTTCGTCCAGATTCCTTCGAAAATGTTGCTCCGTTACCATCAACATGATATATTTTTGGAATCAGCATATCGAGATTTACGTCCCTGAATTTTTTTTCACAATTTTTAGACAACTTTTTTAAAAGTGAAATTTTTCCAATTCTTCAAATTTCGGCCAAAACTTCACATTTTCAAAACTTAACTAAATACATTTTCTTGTAGATTTCGAGTTCTAGAACTCACTTCCAGCCTGGTTTTTTTGATAACTCCAATCGTTTTTCCAGAATCGAACGTCGAAATATCGAAATTTTTAGAAATTGTCAAAAATTTACATTTCGTCCAGATTCCTTCGAAAATGTTGCTCCGTTACCATCAACATGATATATTTTTGGAATCAGCATATCGAGATTTACGTCCCTGAATTTTTTTTCACAATTTTTAGACAACTTTTTTAAAAGTGAAATTTTTCCAATTCTTCAAATTTCGGCCAAAACTTCACATTTTCAAAACTTAGCTAAATACATTTTCTTGTAGATTTCGAGCTCTAGAACTCATTTCCGGCTTCGTTTCTTTAATGACTCCGACCGCTTTTCCAGAATCGTCCGTTGAAATATCGAAATTTTTAGAAATTGTCAAAAATTTACATTTCGTTCAGATTCTTTCGAAAATGTTGCTCCGTTACCATCAACATGCTATATTTTTGGAATCAGCATGTCGAGATCTGCGTCCCTGAATTTTTTCACAATGTTTAGACGACTTTTTTAAAAGTGAAATTTTTCCAATGGTCCCCCCTTCTTCAAATTTCGGCCAAAATTTCACATTTTCGAAACCTAACCAAATACATTTTCTTGTAGATTGGTTTTTTTGATAACTCCAACCGTTTTTCCAGAATCGACTCCTGATATATCGAAACTTTTAGAAATTTTCAAAAATTCGCATTTTATACCGATTCATTCGAAAATATTGATCCGTGACCATCAACACGTTATATTTTTGGAATCAGCATGTCGAGATCTAGGTCCGTGAATTTTTTCATAATTTTTAGGCGACTTTTTTTAAGTGAAATTTTTCCAATGGTCCCTGCTTCTTCAAATTTTGACATTTTCGAAACTTTACTAAATACATTTTCTTTATATTATATATCGAGATTTTTGTGGAAAAAACAATTGAATAACAATTTTTCGATTTTTCGGCTTTTCAATTTCTCGATTGTCGATTTTTTGTTTCTTGAATTTTTGGATTTCGCATTTTTTGTATTTTTCGATTTCTCAGTTTTCCGATATTTCAGTTTTCGGATTTTTTAATTTTTCAATTTTTCAATTCTTGGCGTTTCTGAATTTTCGATTCCTCAATTTCTCGAATAATCGATTTTTTGATTTTTCTGATTTGTCCATTTTTCGATTTTGATTTTAGACTTTTCTGTTTTTTAATTTTTCTATTTTTCAATTTATCGGTTTTTAAATTTTTCGATTTTTCAATTTTTCGATTTGTCGGTTTATTTAAGTTTAAATTTTTCGATTTTGGACTAATTGATCTATATTCAATTTTGAATATTCCTTTTTTCGAACATTTGGATTTTCCAAATTTTGGATTTTTTAGTTTTTCAATTTTTTTAATTTTTCAATTTTTTGATATTTTCGAGTTCTCCATTTTTCAATTATGTATTGGCGTTTTTGAATTTTCGATTTTACGATTTCTCATTTTCTCGATTAATCATTTTTTTTTTAATTTTTCTATTTTTTAAATTTTAGATATTTTGATTTTTGGATCTTCATTTTACGGTTTTTCGTCTTTTAGCTTTTAGATTTTTCTGTTTTTTAATTTTTCGATTTATCAATTTTTCGATTTGTCGCTTTATTTAAGTTTGGATTTTACAAATTTCGGATTTTTTAGTTTTTAGATATTTCGGCTTTTCGATTTTTCTTTTTTTTATTATATTTGTCTAAATACATTTGCTTGTAGATTTCGAGCTCTAGAACTCACTTCAGACTTCGTTTCTTTGATAACTTCAACCATTTTTCCAGAATCGTCCGTTAAAATATCGAAATTTTTAGAAATTGTCAAAAATTTACATTTCGTCCAGATTCTTTCGAAAATGTTGCTCCGTTACCATCAACATGCTATATTTTTGGAATCAGCATATCGAGATTTACGTCCCTGAATTTTTTCACAATTTTTAGACAACTTTTTTAAAAGTGAAATTTTTCCAATGGTAATTCTTCAAATTTCGGCCAAAATTTCACAGTTTCGAAACCTAACTAAATACATTTTCTTGTAGATTTCGAGCTTTAGAACTGACTTCCGGCCTGTTTTTTTTCATAACTCCAACCGTTTTTCCAGAATCGACTCCTGATATATCGAAACTTTTAGAAATTTTCAAAAATTCGCATTTCGTACCAATTCTTTCGAAAATGTTGCTCTGTGACCATCGACACGCTATATATTTGGAATCAGCATGTCGAGATCTACGTCCCTGAATTTTTTCACAATTTTTAGACAATTTTTTTAATAGTGAAATTTTTCTTCAAATTTCGGCCAAATTTTGACATTTTCGAAACTTAACTAAATACATTTTCTTGTATATTTCGAGCTCTAGAACTCACTTCCGGTCACGTTTCTTTGATAACTCCAACCGTTTTTCGGGAATCGACCGTTGAAATATCGAAATTTTTAGAAATTTTCAAAAATTGGCATTTCATACCGGTTCTGTCCAAAATGTTCATCCGTGACCATCAACACGCTATATTTTTGGAATCAGCATGTCAAGATCTACGTCCCTGAATTTTTTCAGAATTTTTAGACAATTTTTTTAAAAGTAAAATTTTGACATTTTCGAAACTTAACTAAATACATTTTCTAGTAGATTTTGGACTGTGGAACTCACTTCCAGCGTCGTTTCTTTGATAACTCCAACCGTTTTTCCAGAATCGACCGTTGAAATACCGAAATTTTACAAAATTTTCAAAAATTCAAAATTCGAATTTCGTACCGATTCCTTCGAAAATGTTGATCCGCTATATTTTTGGAATCAGCATGTCGAGATCTATGTCTCTTAATTTTTTCACAATTTTTTAAAGACTTTTTTTTAAGTGAAATTTTTCCAATGGTCCCCCGTTCTTCAAATTTTGACATTTTCGAAACTTCACTAAATAGATTTCTTGTAGATTTCGAGCGGTAGAACTCACTTCCGGTCTCGTTTCTTTGATAACTCCAACCGTTTTTCGGGAATCGACCGTTGAAATATCGAGTTTTTTAGAAATTTTCATAAATTCGCAATTCGTAATGATTCTTTCGAAAATGTTGCTCCGAGATCATGAACACGCGGTATTTTTAAAATTAGCACGTCGAGATCTACGTCCCTGAATTTTTTTACAATTTTTAGACGACTTTTTTAAAAGTGAAATTTTTTGAAACTTAACTAAATACATTTTCTTGTAGATTTCGAGTTGTAGGACTCACTTCCGGCCTCGTTTCTTTGATAACTCCAACCATTTTTCTGGAATCGACCGTCGAAATATCGAATTTTTTAGAAATTTGCAAAAATTCGCATTTCGTAACGATTTTTTCGAAAATGTTGCTCCATGAGCATTAACATGCTATATTTTTAGAATCAGCACGTCGAGATCCACGTCCCTGATTTTTTTTTACAATTTTTAGACGACTTTTAAAAGTGAAATTTTTCCAAAAGTCTTTCAAATTTCAGCCAAATTTCGACATTTTCGAAACTTAACAAAACACATTTTCTTGTAAATTTCGAGCTCTAGAACTCATTTCGGGCCTGGTTGCTTTAATAACTCCAACTTTTTTCCAGAATCGACCATTGAAATATCGAAATTTTTAAAAATTTTCAAAAATTCTCATTTCGTACCGATTCTTGCGAAAATGTTGCTCCGTGACCATCAATACGCTATATTTTTGGAATCAGCATGTCGAGATCTACGTCCCTAATTTTTTTCATAATTTTTAGACAACTTTTTTTAAAGTGAAATTTTTTCAATTTCTTCAATTTTGGGCCAATTTTTGACATTTTCGAAAATTAACTAAATACATTTTCTTGTAGGAACTCATTTCTGGCCTCGTTTCTTTTTAATGCTTAGATTTGTCGGTTTTTCGATTTCTCGATTTTCAATTTTTCGATTTTTCAATTCGTGGTGTTTCTGAATTTCCGATTTTTCGGTCTCGCAATTTGTCGAGTAACCAATTTTTTCATTTTTCGGATTTGTTGATTTTTCAGCTTTTAAATTTTTTGATTTTTCAGTTCTTTTAATTTTTTTGTTTTTAAATTTTTCGCTGTTTCGATTTATCAGTGTTTCGATTTTCCGGCTTGGATTTTCCAAAATTAGATTTTTTATTTACTTTTTCAATTTTCCAAAATTTCGCGACTTTTTAAATTTCATAGTTTTCGTTTTTTCAAATTTTTTGGTGTTTTGATTTTTCGCCTTCTCGCTTTTAGATTTTTGAATTTTAAAATTTTGCCATTTTTCAATTTTTGAATTTCTGGTTTTTGTGATTATTAGTTTTTCAATTGTTTAAATTTTACGTTTTTTACTTCTAATTTCTCTGTTTCGATTTTTCAACTTTTTGATTTTCGAATTTTTCGATTTTTCGAGATTTTGATATTAAAGTTTTTCAATTCTTCAAAAGCCTTTTTCCCGTTGGTTATCTGCTTTAAATACATTTCATATTGTTCGCTTTTACAAAAACATTTTATAATTTTTAAAGTAGCGGGATTTGCCGCGAGAAGTTCTGTCGAAATAACCTTCGACCAATTTTTTTAATTTCAATGTCATGTCAGTTCAGATTTCTAGGATATTCTTCGGTCCGTATTAACTAATTTCTTAAAAATTAGTAATTTAGTTTAATCTCTGAATAGAATAATTACTAATACGACTGTACTTTTCAAGAATGATTCCGTTTCTCAGGAAGACTATAACCAGAATCTTCTCGATTATACCATTTCCGGTGCACTCTAGACGTTTTTTGCATTAGTCATTGCCATTATTTAAAAAATATATTGTATGTGAAAAATAATAATAGTTTTTTTATTTATGGTAACAAGATAATATAAATTTGACAAAAATGTTGTTAAAATTATTCCAGATATTTCTAATTGCGTATTTTCATTTTCGTGAAAATTATCGTCATGGTTAAAGATAGAACTTCCTAATTTTTGTGGCCAAACAAAGGTGATGCAGATTAAAAAAATGAGGTTTTATCATCAGCGCTGACAGTTATAAACTGCAATTTAGATTAAATTGGTATTTTAATCCAAGAAATGAGGCACATTTCCATTTGTAGGAGAACACGAGGCCAAGGAAACTTCAAATGACATTAACACCACAATTGAAAATTTGAATTTTCCTTGTACTCGGAAATCTATTATTCCATCACACTTATCTGTGTCACCACATTCCAAATTATTATTTTGTAATTGCTTTGTGTATATTTCGACACGAAAATGTAGCAAACAACCTGGATTACTTATCGTGTATTTTTATCAGAAAATTAATTTTCAAAGTTATCATAAATTAATCAACACTGTCACGAACCAAAAAAGTGCGCATTGACATTGCTTTGCGCACATTTTGGCTCCTGAAAATTTTATGAAAAATTGCGATTAAAAATGTTTTTCTCATCTAGGTCCACAAACTCTCCTCAGCCAAACCGCAGTCTTCGACGTCGTCAGCGAACCGCGCCAACGGCCGCCAGAAAAGCGAAGAAGAAACCTCGTCGGCGATCCCCTCGGCGTCGAGTCCCGCCGTTCTGACCGCCACGACGCCCCGAACCTCGACTGACAAGAGTCGCAGTCCCCTCGACGCCACTCTGCCCCACTCCTCGACGAAAGAGCCGGCGTCGCCGAAGCCGGTGGCGTCGCGGACCGACGACAAGCGGCCGCCCGCCGAGCCGCCCGTGTCGCCGCCTCCGAAGAAACCCGAAGTCAGCACGAAGGCCGACAGCGCGGAGGGCGAGTGCAAAGCGGGCGATAAAGAGCTGACGGTGAACGGACACAATAACAATAACAATGTGACTGACGAACTCCCGGTGCTGACGAGTCCGGGCTCGGAGTACTGGCTGGCGAGGAACCCCGTAGCGGATCAGGTTTTCATCACCGACGTCACGGTGAACCTGAAGACTGTCACGATCCGGGAATGTAAAACCGAGAAGGGGTTTTTCAAAGATCGGGACGATAATAGTCATTCTAGTGATATTGTTTGACTTTTATTTATTTCGTTGATAAGCTTAAGTCGTAAGGACAGTGATGGGCTTTTTTAGATATCCGAGGGTGGGTATCGTACAGGGTAGCTCAGTTTTAGAGCAACGTTTCCCCGAGGATCTGATAGGTTTTATTAGACTGTTGGTGCTATATGCTTTTTTATTGGCCAGCCTGAGGGAGTGGACGGTTTCACGATTCATTGACTGCTTGTTGTGTAGTAGTGCTGAGGCTGGACGTCGTGGTTCGAGGACGATTTTTGTATAAATGTGTATATTTCGCTGCTGTCATTTCCAAAGGTCCTGCTTGTTTGCTCCAAATACAACCCCAAATCTTCATTCGTTTTTTCTTTTTTTTACTGTGATATTCAAATCGTACTAGATGAAATTCGGTCACAATTTTTCTTTTATAGACATGTCCTCTCGTTTAGGTCGGTTTCCACTTAATTACTAGTTATTTGTAAGCAGCAACATGATTGGTTGTAAAATTTCATTCCATGATCAAGTCACTTCATCTTTAGACTAACTAAGCATAGTTTTTATATCTCCTTTTTGTACCTTTTAGTATTAGAAAACCTTGTTGAAAGCTTATTTATTACTTTTTAATTTTAACTTATTTTATTTTGTATTGTGTTTAATACAGTAATGCACTCGTCGAGTTGACTTATTTGTAAGTTCTGATACGCATTTTAATGGTTTTATTAAGTCACAGTGTAATTGTTGTACAGTTTTATCATTTGGACACATTCATGTTAACACATTTTACTGAGAGTAAGATAATATTACTTAACAATCTTGTACATAAAGTGTAATATACAAAATGAGTTGAAAATAGTTGTTTTCGTTAATAATAAGGTATTTTTGAAATAAAAAGTAGTCCAAGCAACAAGTTTTTTTATGGACACCCAAGTAATCAGTAGGTAGTTTTGAAATAGGTGACTTTCGTTAAAGCGGATCTAATCTGATTTGGTCGAACTTTACAACGAATAAGTGACAAAAATGGTAAAACGCTCACAAAAATTTGTCGCCAAGAATGAAATCACGTAATCTCCGAATTTTACAACAGTAGTAGATGTAATTTTTAAATCTTATATCCTCCGTTTACGGTTTATGAATCCGTGTTGAGTTTTTACCTTAGACGTCAAGATTTTTGGAAAAAAATCGACAACATTTTCCAATTTATAGTCATTGGAAGCATATTAAATAGTTAGTCAAAATTTATCCGTTGATGCCCCCCAGGAGTTGATGATGTCATATTACAATTTTGGTGAAAAAATTTTATTTAAATGTTAAAAAGCAGCATAGTCGTGAACTTGTGGTGATTTCAGTTTTTATTTTTCTCTAAGAATAAGAAATTACCAATTATCTTAAGTAGGTAATCGTGTTGTTAAAAAAAAATTATATGTATCCAATAAAAAAGAAAATCAAATTTTAAGCTCCACTTATATCCACCCCGATCTCAATTGTGATGAATTTTTCGTTTATTGTCACACCGAGGGGCCGAGAATAAACATGTTTTAAGTTTCTTGTTGTGAAAAAGAAACTACATATATTAAGAAAAAAAAAGGAAAATATAATCCCCGCCCACCCACCCTATCTCGATCGTGACGATTTTTTTTTATTCGTCATTAGCCGAGTGGTAGCGCTTACTTGCTGCAATCCTCATTTTTCGCCAAGAAATTATCAAGTGAAACATAATCTTAAGTAGGTAATCGTGTTCAAAGAAAATTACATGTAAAAAAAAGTTTACCATTTATACCATATTGGTATAAATACGCAATTGAGATTTTTCTGCTTTTCGATTTCTCGATTTTTCAACTTTAGATGATTCAAGATTCAATTTTGCACTTATTTTTCGATTTCTAAATATGTATTTCGATTTTTCAAGTTTTGACGTTTCTAAATTTTTAGTTTTCCGATGTCTGAAGTAATCTTTTTTTTTATTTTCCTAATTCTCGATTTTCCAAAGTTTCGATTTTTTGACTTTGCCGATTTAGTTTTTCGATTTCTCAATTTTTTAATGTCTCAATTCTTTGGATATTTCTTTCATTTTTGGGATTTTTCAATATTTCGGTTTTTGGAGTCCTGGATTTTTTTATTTCTCGATTTTTTACTATTTGGAGTTTCAATTTTTCGACTGTTTTATACTTCGATTTCTCAATTTTTAAACTTTCGATTTTCCAATTTTTCTTGGAAAATCGAAAATTAAAAAATTCGATTTCTCGAATTCAGATGTTTCGATTGCTCAATTTCTGGATTCAACAATTTTTAACTTTTCTTCTCGGCCTTCGACTCTTCAATATCTCGATCCTGTGATGTTTTAGTTTTTGAATTTTTCGGTGTTTCGATTTTTAGGTTCCTCGATTTTTCGATTGTTCACTTTTGGCCTTTTCAATTTTTTAAATTTTGAAGTTTCGAATCCTCGAATTGTCGATTTCTGAGCTTTTCGATTTTTAAATTTTAGATTTTCCAATTTTTATTTTTGTATTTTTTGATGTTCGAATTTCCAGATTTTTCATTTTTGCGGTATTTTAATTGTTCAATGTTTTAAATTTTACATTTTCCGGTTTTTTGATTTTTTAGTTCAATATTTTATATTTTTCAATTTTTCAAATTTTGACGTTGCTAAATTTTCAATTTTCCGATTTCTCAATTAATCAAGTTTTGGTTTTCCCACTTATCAACTTCTCCAAGTTTTGACTTTTCAGTTTTGGGATTTTTAATATTTCGTTTCTTCGATTTTTTATTTTTTGGATTTTTAAGATTCTAGATGTTTCAATTTCTATATTTTAATTTTCTAATTTTCCGAATTATTAAATTTTCGATTCTACAATTTTTTGAGATCTCGATTTATTGAGATTTGAATGTTTCGATGTTTGATTGTTCAATCTCCCGATTAATCGATTTTTCCATTTTTCGATTTCTCGACTTTTCTACTCCTCGATTTCTGGATCTTTTGATGTTTCGATGTCTCAGTTTTTCAATTTTTCGATTTTTTACTTTTCGGCTTTTTGACTTTTCAGTGCTTCGATTTTTGAATTATCCGATTTTTCAACTTTCCAATTTTTTTTATTTTTGAGTTTCAATTTCTCAATTTGTTGATTTTTCAGTTTTTCGATTTTTAAATTTTACGATATTTTAATTTCTCAATATTTTTTAATTTTTCAAATTTTGACGTTTCTGGATTTTCAGATTTCCGGTTTCTCAATTAATCTATTTTTTGATGTTCTCATTTCTCGACTTCCCAAAGTTTCGATATTTCAATTCCTTCAGGTTTTTGACTTTTCAATTTTTGGATTCTGTAAGATATATTTCGACCTTGTTTTTTTTTGACTTTTTGATTTCTCAATTTTTTGATATTTCTTTCAATTTTTTGATATTTGAGTTTTGGGATTTTTAATATTCCGACTTTTCAATTTTTCAAGTTTTGACGTTTCTAAATTTTCAGTTTTCCCATACCTGAAGTAATCTTTTTTTATTTTCCCATTTCTTGACTTCACAAAGTTTCGATTTTTCACTTCATCAATTCGACTTTGCTTTTTTAGTTTCTAGATTTCTCAATTTTCCAATTTTGCCGATATTTCTTTCCGTTTTGGGATTTTTCAATATCTCGATTTTTTGACTTTTTGATTTTTTGATTTCTCGAGTTTTTACTTTTTTGGATTTTCAATATTTCAGTTTTTAAAATTCTATGTTTTTCGATTACTCGAATTTTCAGCTCTTCTACATCGAAATTTTTCAATTTTCTGAATTTTTAAATTTTTCGAATTTTCAATTTTTTCATTTTTTGATTTATCGAATTCAAATGTTTCGATTGTTCGATTTCTCGATCTTCTGATTTTCCCGATGTTTCAGTTTTTGAATTTTTCCATGTTTGGATTTTTAGATTTTTCGGTTTCGATTTTTTACTTTTAGGCTTTTCAATTTTTCGATTTTCCAATCTTTTTTTCGGATTTTCAGTTTTTCCTTTTTTAAACTTTTAGATCTTTTTATTTTTCATTTTTAAGTTTCTACATTTTTCGATTTCTCGATTTTTCAGTTCCATATTTTAATTTTCCGAATTTTTAAATTTTCGATTTTCCAATTTTTTAATTCCTCAATTTTTGGATATTTCTTCCAGTTTTGGGATTTTTCGATTGTTCGATTTTTCGATATTTCAGTTTTGAGATATTTCGGTATTTTGATTCTTCAACTTTTCGATGTTTGACTTTTGGATTTCGGTTTCTCAGTTTTTCGATTTTTCAACTTCTCGACTTCTCGATCTTTTGATTTTTCGATTTGTCGATGTCTCAGTTTTTGAATTTTTCGATGTTTCGATCTGTCGCTTTTTCGATTTTGTACTTTTCGGCATTTTGACTTTTCAATGTTCCGATTTTTGAATTATCCGATTTTTCAAGTTCCCAATTTTTTAAATTTAGATTTTCGGATTTTTTTTTTTGATTTTTTGATGTTTAGATTTCTCTATTTTTCAATTTTGCGATATTTTAATTTTTAATGTTTTAAATTGTAGATTTTTCGATTTTTCAATTCTTCAATATTTTTTAATTTTTCAAATTATGACATTTCCGAATTTTCAGTTTTGCGATTTCTCAATTAATCTATTTTTTGATTTCCCCATTTCTCGACTTCCCAAAGTTTCAATTTTTCGACTTTCCTTTTTTAACTTTTCGATTTCTCAATTTTTCAGTTTTTTAATTTCCCAATTTTTGAATTGTGATTTTTCAGTTTTTCGATATTTGAGTTTTGGGATTTTTTAGTATCTCGAGTTTTCGATTTTTCGGGTTCTGGATTTTTGGATTTTCTACTTTTTGGATTTTCAATTTTTCGTTTTGTAACCTTTGGAATTTTCAGTTTTTCGACTGTCTTATACTTCGATTTCTCAATCTTTTAACTTCTCGATATTGTAACTTTAAAGTTTTTAAAATTTTAGGTTTTTGGATTTCTCGAGTTTTCAGTTTTTCTGTATTTCAATTTTTCAATTTTCGATTTTCCAATTTTTCGATGTTTCGAGTTTTCAATTATCCGATTGTTCTAGTTTCTCGAGTTTGAAATTTTAGATTTCCAATTTTTTATTTTTTGATATTTTAATTTTTCAGTGTTTTAGATTTTGATTTTTTCAATTGTGCAGTTCCTCAATATTTTTTAATTTTTCAAATTTTCACGTTTCTGAATTTTTCAGTTTTCCGATTTCCCAATTAATCTATTTTGTGATTTTTCCATTTCTCGGCTTCCCAAAGTTTCGATCTTTTAATTCTTTAAGTTTTCGATTTTTCAGGTTTTTGATTTTTTAATTTTTCGACTTTGCTTTTTTGACTTTTCGATTTCTCAATTTTTCTATTTTTTAATTTCCCAATTTTTGGATATTTCGTTAGACTTTGTGATTTTTCAGTTTTTCGACTTTTCGAGTTCTGGATTTTTTGATTTCTCGACTTTTTACTTTTTGGATTTTCAAGTTTTCGTTTTTTATACTTTAGATTTTTGAATTTTTCGATTTGTTCATACTCCAATTTCTCAGTCTTTCAACTTTTCGATATTTTAATTTTTCATTTTTTAAAATTTTAGGTTTTTCAATTTTTAAAATTTTTCGATTTTTAGGCTTTCCGAATTTGCAAGTTTTCGATTTCTCCATTTTTTTCAACATTATCAGTTTTGGGAACTCTTCAGTTTTTCGGTTTGTCGATCACTGAGAGCTAAAAGCAACTACAAATAAAAGTAAAAAATAACTACCAAAATTGTGACCAAAAATATGTAAAAATTAATACCAAATAGGACACACTTCTAAAAAGTTGCATCTCAAAATCGAGTGAAACAAAGCATCTAAATAAACTATTTCCCTCAGAAATTCTGAACGCTTATAGAGTCGACATTGGCTTGAGTGCGCTCCGCTCTATGGATCAAACAAGTTCTCAGGCGACGTATTGCACTAAAAAAAAAGCACACTAAAACAGAGTGACCTAAAGTCATTTTGTCACAAAACTTCACGAATCATTCAAGTCAAAATCATGCGACCAAGAATAAATTTTCTGCACCAAAACAAAATATTACACAAGTGTAAGAAAGTGACTTTAATTACTTAAGTGTAACTCGGTTCTTCCACAGTCGCACGGAGAGTCAGAAAACACTTGAGCGTGCGCAGTTATGCAACCAATAATGAGAGCTGTAAATTACTTAAAATGAAACGCAACTCTACTTATGATAAGGTACCGAAAAGCAGCGGTGTCGTAGCGGAATGTAGAACACCCAATAAAATTTACCCCATGGTTGAAGCTGTGGAGAAAGGGTCACTTCCTGGATGCGCCATGAAAAAACTGGGCATGTACTCGAAGTACTCCGGCAGCTGGTCTTCGAACATCACCTTAGCGGATTACTTCGAACGATACTTTTATTAATCGAAAATAAAAATTCTGTATTAAAGTGCGTGTTTTGGTTGAGTGGGACGAATACGTGTCAGACAAAACTAGAGACGCTTTAGCAAAGATATTTATTTTTTACGTTCATAACAATATAGCGAAACATTGCACTAGGTTACACTAGAATTTTTCAGTTCTTCAGTATTTCTAATTCAGTATTTTAATTTTCGAATTTCGATTTCCCGAATTTTTATTTTTTTGATTTTTTGATGTTTAGATTTCTCTATTTTTCAATTTTACGATACTTTAATTTTGTAAGTTTCCAAATTTTGAAGTTTCTGAATTTTCAGTTTTTCCAATTTCTCAATTAATCTGATTTTTGATTTTCCCATTTCTCGAGTTCCCAAAGTTTCGATCGTTCAGTTCTTCAGTTGTTCAGTTTTTCGATTTTTCAGGTTTTTGATTTTTTAAGTTTGCGATTTTTCGACTTTGCTTTCTTGACTTTTCGATTTCTCAATTTTTTAATTTCCCAATTTTTTGATATTTCGTTCAATTTTCGTGATTTTTCAATTTTTCGATGTTTGAGTTTTGGGATTTTTTAGTATTTCGACTTTTCAATTTTTCAAGTTTTGACGTTTCTAAATTTTCAGTTTTCCCATGTCTGAAGTAATCTTTTTTTTATTTTCGTATTTCTTGACTTTCCAAATCGATTTTTCTCTTAAGTTTATTATTTTTCGACTTTGCTTTTTTAGTTTTTAGATTTCTTAATTTTCCAATTTTTTGTTTCAGTTATGGGATTTTTCAATATTTGGATTTCTCGACTTTTGGATTTTTGGACTCCCCGATTTTTTGATTTTTCAATTTTTTGGTTTTTGGATGTTCACTTTTTCGTTAAACTTTATATTTTTCAATTTTTCGACTATTTTATATCGATTTCTCAGTTTTTCAACTTTTCAATGTTTTAATTTTTAAATTGTTAAAATTCCAGGTTTTTCGATTTCTCGAGTTTTCAATTCTTCTATACATATTTCAATTTTCTGGATTTTTAAATTTTCGATTTTCCAATTTTTCTTTAAAATTTGTCGATTTCTCTATTTATGGAATTCAGATTTTCGGTTATTTAATTTCTCGATTCATCAATTTTTCAATTTTTAACTTTTCTTCTCGACCTTCGATTCTTCGATTTCTCGATCAACTGTTTTTTCGATTTCTCGTTTATTGAATTTTTCCATGTTTAGATTTTTAGATTTCTCGATTTTTCAGTTCTTCTATATTTTATCTTTTCAATTTTTCTTATTTTTTAATTTTTCGATACTTTAGTTTTGAGATATTTCGGTATTTTGATTCTACGACTTTTCGATTTTTGACTTCTGGATTTCGGTTTCTCAGTTTTTCGATTTTTTCGACTTCTCGAATTTTCTGCTCCTCGATTTCTCGATGTCTGTTTTTGAATTTTTCGAAGTTTCGATTTGTCGATTTTGTACTTTTCGGCTTTTTGATTTTTCTATGTTTCGATTTTTGAATTATCCGATTTTTCAAATTTCCAATTTTTTAAATTTTAGATTTTTGAATTTTTATTTTTTTGATTTTTTATGTTTAGATTTCTCCATTTTTCAATTTTACAATATTTTAATTTTTCAAATTTGGATGTTTCTAAATTTTCAGTTTTCCGATTTCTCAATTAATCTATTTTTTGATTTTCCCATTTCTCGACTTCCCAAAGTTTCGATCTTTCAAATCTTCAATTTTTCAGGTTTTTGTTTTTCAATTTTTCGACTTTGCTGTTTTGACTTTTCGATTTTTCAATTTTTCCATTTATTAATTTCCCAATTTTTGAATATTTCGTTCAATTTTGTGATTTTTTGGTATTTCGACTTTTCAAGTTCTGGATTTTTGGATTTCTCGACTTTTTACTTTTTGGATTTTCAATTTTTCGACTATTTTATACTCCGATGTCTCAATCTTGCAACGTTTCGATATTTTAATTTTTCAGTTTTTAAAATTTTAGGTTTTTCGATTTCTCGAGTTTTCAGTTCTTCCATATTTTAATTTTCGGAAAAATTTAAAATTTCGGCTTTCCAATATTTAGATTTTTCTCAATTATATCCGATGATTCAATTTCGAACTTTTCATTTTTAAAATTTTATTTTTTTGATTTTTTCATGTTTAGAGATCTCGATTTTACAATTTTTCAATATTTGAATTTTTAAATTTTAGATTTTACGATTTCTCGATTTTTCAATTTTTAGGCTTTCGTCAGACAAAACTAGAGACGCTTTAGCAAAGATATTTATTTTTTACGTTCATAACAATATAGCGAAACATTGCACTAAGTTGCACTAGAATACAAAATAAACATAAACTGTAGTGGGATATTTACATTCATACAAGACTATAAAAAGAAATAAAATTTCAATAAAAAATATAGGTAAATCCACGATAAAATTTAAACCCATGAATTAAACTTTCATAGCAGGTACCTCATAAAACGAATTGTATCTCGTGTATCTTCTACCTTTAAGTTGTTGGATACTCTCAATCGGTGATGTTCGTTTCGAGAAAAAGTCGACCAGAGGCTGTGTGTTGAGCACAGACGCTAGAAATTGCTCCACTGTGATGTACCATTGAATCCCGGTCTTTCGACCATCTGGTCAAACTTTACAATGAATAAGTGACAAAAATGGTAAAGCGCTCACTAAAATTTGTCACCAAGAATGAAATTACGTAATCTCCAAATTTTACAATAGTAGATGTAATTTAAATTTTATATCCTCCGTTTACGGTTTATGAATCCGCGTCGAGTTTTTACCTTAGACGTCAAGATTTTTGGGAAATTTATAGTCATAGGAAGCATATTAAATCGTTAGTCAAAATTTATCCGTTGATGCCCCCCAGAAGTTGATGTCATCTTACAATTTTGTTGAAAAAATGTTATTTAAATTTTAAAAAGCAGCATAGTCTTGGACTTGTGGTAATTGTTGTGAAAAAGAAACTACATATATTTAGAAAAAAAAAGGAAAAATTATAAGCCCCACCCACCCACCCTGTCTCAATTCTGATGATTTTTTTATTCGTCATGAGCCGAGTGGTGGCGCTTACTTGTAGTCCTCATTTTTCGCCAAGAAATTATCAAGTGAAACATATCTTAAGTAGGTAATCGTGTTGTTCAAAAAAAATATAGGTATGTATCGAATTAAAAAAAGTTTAACATTTATACCATATTGGTATAAATACGCTATTGAGATTTTTCGGCTTTTCCATTTCTGATTTCTCGATTTTTCAACTTTAGATGTTTCAATATATTTCAATTTTGAATTTTCGATTCCTCGATTTTTTTTTTATTTTTCGATTTCTAAATATGTATTTCGATTTTTCAAGTTTTGACGTTTCTAAATTTTTAGTTTTCCGATGTCTGAAGTAATCTTTTTTTTATTTTCCCATTTCTCGACTTCCCAAAGTTTAGATTTTTCGACTTTGCTGTTTTAGTTTTTCGATTTCACAATTTTCCAATTTTTTAATTTCTCAATTTTTTGGATATTTCTTTCAGATTTGGGATTTTTCAATATTTCGATTTTTGGACTCCTGGATTTTTTGATTTCTTGATTTTTTACTTTATGGAGTTTCAATTTTTCGACTGTTTCATACTTCGATTTCTCAATTTTTCAATTTAAACCCTAAAATTTTTCGATTTCTAGAGTTTTCAGGTCTTCTGTATCTTATTTTCCCATTTAATGAATTTTTAAATTTTCGATTTTCCAATTTTTCTTCGAAAATTGAAAATTTAAAAATTCGATTTCTCGAATTCAGATGTTTCGATTACTCAATTTCTCGATTCATCAATTTTTCAATTTTTAACTTTTCTTGTCGGCTTTCGACTTTTAGATATTTCGATACTGTGATGTTTCAGTTTTTGAATTTTTCGATTTTTAGGTTCCTCAATTTTTCGATTGTTCACGTGTGGCCTTTTCAATTTATCGATTTTCCAATTTTTTAATAATTCGATTTTTCAGTTGTCCGATTTTTCTATTTTTTAAATTTTGGAGTTTCGACTCCGCGAATTGTCGATTTTTAAATTTTTCCAACTTTTATTTTTTTTATTTTTGATGTTTGAATTTCTCGATTTTTCATTTTTGCGAAATTTTAATTGTTCAAGCTTTTAAATTTTACATTTTTCGATTTTTTGATTTTTCAGTTCTTCAGTATTTCTATTTTTCAATTTTTCAAATTTTGAATTTTCCGGTTTCTCAGTTAATCCGCTTTTGATTTTTCCACTTCTCGACTTCTCCAGGTTTTGATTTTTCAGTTCTTCAATTCTTCGAATTTTCGACTTTGCTTTTGTGGTTTTTTGATTTCTCAACTTTCCAATTTTTTAATTTATCAATTTTTGGATATTTCTTTCAGTTTTGGGATTTTTTATATTTTGTTTCTTCGATTTCTCAATATTTTTGAGATCTCGATTTATCGAGATTCGGATGTTCGATGTTTTGATTTGTAAGTTTTTTGATTTTTTACTTTTCGGCTTTTTGATTTTTCGATGTTTCGATTTTTGAATTACTTATCCGATTTTTCGATTTCTCAATTTTTTTAATTTTCGAATTTCGATTTCTCGAATTTTTATTTTTTTGATTTTTTGATGTTTAGATTTCTCTATTTTTCAATTTTACGATATTTTAATTTTGTAAGTTTCCAAATTTTGAAGTTTCTGAATTTTCAGTTTTTCCAATTTCTCAATTAATCTGTTTTTTGATTTTCTCATTTCTCGAGTTCCCAAAGTTTCGATCGTTCAGTTCTTCAGTTGTTCAGTTTTTCGATTTTTCAGGTTTTTGATTTTTTAAGTTTGCGATTTTTCAACTTTGCTTTTTTGAATTTTCGATTTCTCAACTTTTTAATTTCCCAATTTTTTGATATTTCGTTCAATTTTCGTGATTTTTCAATTTTTCGATGTTTGAGTTTTGGGATTTTTTAGTATTTCGACTTTTCAATTTTTCAAGTTTTGACGTTTCTAAATTTTCAGTTTTTCCATGTCTGAAGTAATCTTTTTTTTATTTTCGTATTTCTTGACTTTCCAAATCGATTTTTCTCTTAAGTTTATTATTTTTCCACTTTGCTTTTTTAGTTTTTAGATTTCTTAATTTTCCAATTTTTTGTTTCAGTTATGGGATTTTTCAGTATTTGGATTTCTCGACTTTTGGATTTTTGGACTTCCCGATTTTTTGATTTTTCAATTTTTTGGTTTTTGGATGTTCAATTTTTCACTTTTTCGTTAAACTTTAGATTTTTCAATTTTTCGACTATTTTATACTTCGATTTCTCAATTTTTCAACTTTTCAATGTTTTAATTTTTAAATTGTTAAAATTCCAGGTTTTTCGATTTCTCGAGTTTTCAATTCTTCTATACATATTTCAATTTTCTGGATTTTTAAATTTTCAATTTTCCAATTTTTCTTTAAAATTTGTCGATTTCTCTATTTATGGAATTCAGATTTTCGGTTATTTAATTTCTCGATTCATCAATTTTTCAATTTTTAACTTTTCTTCTCGACCTTCGATTCTTCGATTTCTCGATCAACTGTTTTTTCGATTTCTCGTTTATTGAATTTTTCCATGTATAGATTTTTAGATTTCTCGGTTTTTCGATTTTTTACTTTTGGGCTTTTCAATTTTTTGATATTTTAAATTTCTATTTTTAAGTTTCTACATTTTTCGATTTCTCGATTTTTCAGTTCTTCTATATTTTATCTTTTCAATTTTTCTTATTTTTTAATTTTTCGATACTTTAGTTTTGAGATATTTCGGTATTTTGATTCTACGACTTTTCGATTTTTGACTTCTGGATTTCGGTTTCTCAGTTTTTCGATTTTTTCGAATTTTCTGGTCCTCGATTTCTCGATGTCTCAGTTTTTGAATTTTTCGAAGTTTCGATTTGTCGATTTGTACTTTTCGGCTTTTTGATTTTTATATGTCTCGATTTTTGAATTATCCGATTTTTCAAATGTCCAATTTTTTAAATTTTAGATTTTTGAATTTTTATGTTTAGATTTCTCCATTTTTCAATTTTACAATATTTTAATTTTTCAAATTTGGACGTTTCTAAATTTTCAGTTTTCCGATTTCTCAATTAATCTATTTTTTGATTTTCCCATTTCTCGACTTCCCAAAGTTTCGATCTTTCAAATCTTCAATTTTTCAGGTTTTTGTTTTTCAATTTTTCGACTTTGCTGTTTTGACTTTTCGATTTTTCAATTTTTCCATTTATTAATTTCCCAATTTGTGAATATTTCGTTCAATTTTGTGATTTTTCAGTTTTTAGATCCTTCGATTTTTCTATTTTTCGTTATTTGAGTTTTGGGATTTTTTGGTATTTCGACTTTTCGAGTTCTGGATTTCTCGACTTTTTTCTTTTTGGATTTTCAATTTTTCGACTATTTTATACTCCGATGTTTCAATCTTTCAACGTTTCGATATTTTAATTTTTCAGTTTTTAAAATTTTAGGTTTTTCGATTTCTCGAGTTTTCAGTTCTTCCATATTTCAATTTTCGGAAAAATTTAAAATTTCGGCTTTCCAATATTTAGATTTTTCTCAATTATATCCGATGATTCAGTTTCGAACTTTTCATTTTTAAAATTTTATTTTTTTGATTTTTTCATGTTTAGAGATCTCGATTTTACAATTTTTCAATATTTGAATTTTTAAATTTTAGATTTTACGATTTCTCGATTTTTCAGTTTTTAGGCTTTCGTCAGACAAAACTAGAGACGCTTTAGCAAAGATATTTATTTTTTACGTTCATAACAATATAGCGAAACATTGCACTAGGTTACACTAGAATACAAAATAAACATAGACTGTAGTGGGATATTTACATTCATACAAGACTATAAAAAGAAATAAAATTTCAATAAAAAATATAGGTAAATCCACGATAAAATTTAAACCCATGAATTAAACTTTCATAGCAGGTACCTCATAAAACGAATTGTATCTCGTGTATCTTCTACCTTTAAGTTGTTGGATACTCTCAACGGGTGATGTTCGTTTCGAGAAAAAGTCGACTAGAGGCTGTGCGTTGAGCACAGACGCTAGAAATTGCTCCACTGTGATGTACCATTGAATCTCGGTTTTTGGGGTCAGGGGATTCCCGTTTTTATCAGGCGACTGCAACTATAAAAAAATGTAACTACGGCTAGACTGACGGTGAAGACTAACCCCATCTACGGTTCCTGGGTTGTAGGCAGCCGCCGCTGACACCAAACTATCATCCGATTCGTCCCGATTGATAAAGAACTGTTTCCCGACATCCCCTAGCTCTAACAACAACGTTCCAACGTTGGCAATCGCATGATACGTCTCCTACAAGCAAAAAAATTTTATGTGTATCAATCAAGGTATCAACAAACCTGTACCTGGTCTTCCGGTTCCGTCTGAAAAATATCGTACACCGTCTTCCACAACGTAATGAAGTGGTGCTGCGTCATTTTCGGTACCGCTTTTAAATTAATTTTGCTATCTTTCGACTGAACCAAATTGCGAAGATTGGTCAAACTCTTGATTTCCCAGTTCATCTCCCCCGCTCCGTTATTACTAGCAAACGAGTTATCCATAGAAGATTGAGATTCAAACGACTTCCTAAAATCAAGACAGCAGCGACTCATTTGACAAGTCCTTCACATTTCACCCCGATGTCGTACAACAATCTCAAAATTCTCGTGAAAAACGACAAAGTTAAAGTTTTAGCCCGAACGGTACTTCGGTTTCGAAACTCGAAGTATGCAAATCATTTGCCAAAGTTATCGGCGATTCAGACTTGGAGGTACCTTAACAAATTTGGTAAGGAACACAGACATTAGGGGCGTCAGGTTTAAACACACCCGAGGACCTCTACCGTGGGAATGCAAAGACAAATTCGCTGATAAACCCCAGAAGAAATTCAGAAAGGCGGAAGTCGAGACTGTGGTAGAAAAAGAGTGTCCGGATAAGTGCGCTGTGTTACAGAAACCCAAGCGCAACACGTACGAGTGGGTGGTCGACGACGACGCCAAACCGTGCAAACCCTTCAAGATTAAAGCCGTTATTGAGAAAAGCGTGTGCGAAATGCGGAGATTCAAGGAGTGTTTGCACAAGTGCGGCGACCCGGCGCTCTGCCAAAACCTAGTACCCGACTGCAGCAAAATCACCAAAATATACCCCATGATGGAAGCCATCGAAAAAGGGTCGATACCTGGCTGTGCCCGGCCTCTAGAAACCAAGAAACAAGCGAGCTAAACGTCAAAAAATCAACAAAATTTTCGTAGAATGAGCATCCTTCTGAGGCGCGGCAACAAGAACGTTACATGTAAGGGTCCCCACACGTGAGGGTTTAATTGTGTCTTTTAAGGGGCTGTCAGATATTTCTACTACCGGAGGGTTCAAGAAGGATGCGAGTGTCCCGAGCCTGAAAAGTACCCCATTGTAGAGGAAAAAAAGTGCGGCTGCAGTTTCACAACCTGGAAACCGAAATCAAGGAAAGTGCTTGAGTGCGAAACGCGGAGAGCAACTAGGAGGAGGAAGGAATCAAGACGCTGTTACGCCGGAATGCAAGTTAAAAAACCTCCACCGGATTGTGATCCTGCTGAAACAGACCCGTTCAAGGGGAAATGTTGCCGCCAACAGAAAAAACCCAAAGAACAGGTAGGAATCAAGTTGTTGTCACACTTTATAACTACGTTTTTCAAAAGCAGCAGCCGCCGGAACTTTTCGAAAAAAAAATGCCTGCTGCCGACTGGGACGTCGACTGCTAAATCATGAAAAACACCGGAACAAAGAATAAAGTAAAGTAACTGAGTGAGTGTTTTATTGTTGTACTTACTGCCACGTGTATGACGTGGTGGGCGTCGACGGTTCCTCCGAGTGTAAACTCAAGGAATCTACATTGTTGACACTTTGTTCCACGCTGTCAAAGAAGTCGGTGGCTTCGGACGCTATTTCAGCGCCGTGTTCGTTTTTGACGGGCGATTCGATGTCCGACATACACAAAAGCGGTGGCAGGTGTATGGTGTATAGCAGTTTCAGTCTTTGAGCCGGATCTGCCGTCGACGTTAAACCTATAGCGGCCACTAGTTCTCGAAAATTGAGGTATCCGTCGTGATTGGTATCTAACAACTGTAAAAACCGTGTATTTTTTTACCATCTGTACTGGGTGTCTGGAAAATGGCGGATTAACTCTTCAGTACGTTATACTGTCAAGATAAGACTGATTTTGGCAGATGACATACATTCTAAGAAAATAAAGGGTGGGTGAGCGGGGCTAGTAATTGCTAAAATAAGACCGACTTTGGCAAATGCAGGGTCCGTAGCGCATATGCATCAAAATAATATGAAAATATGCAATACAATCGTTGAATTTTAATAATAATGAAAAAACTTTCAGAGTTTAAAAAATATATTTGTAGTCACTGCTACACGTGTTTCGGTACACAGTACCGTCTTCAGCAGTCTTGTAGCAGTGACTACAAATATATTTTTTAAACTCTGAAAGTTTTTTCATTATTATTAAAATTAATATGGAGTTTAAACACGTATCAGCCTCATCAATACAAACAATCGTTGAAAATATGAAAATTTTATAAAAGGTAGAGCTGAGTTTTATGAAGAGATTTTATGAAAAGTAATAGGGTCGTTAGCTTTTTTAGCTATTTATAAAAATAATATTTTGCAATATAACTTTGAAACTGCACAATCGATTGCTCTGAAATTTTGTAAATATTTTAAGGTTATCATAATCATGATAAATCGTTAAGCGAATAAATCCTATCCAAAATGTGCAAAATATCGTGAGTCTATACTTGTGCTTTATCACTGCATTAAAAGTTTTTAAATTTCTTACACATGGTGACTCATAAAAATTCATGAATGAGTCAATTTATTTTATTGATTAAATCGGGAACAGCTCACTCCGTTTTCCCAAAAATTTGAGAACACAATACTGTTACATACACATTTTTATTTTAACTTGCAAGGGTTATCATAAAAAAATAAAATTCGCAAAATTTTTCGAAAAATCTGGATTCATATTTACCTTTAACCAATTTACGAGATGTTTTTTCGTTTTCTTTTATTTTCAATTTTTCCTTTTTCAAAGTTTTCGTTTTTGCAACGTTAAGATCCGGTTTATGGAAAGCGAATTAAAAGATAATCGCGATTAATTTTAATTGAGGTCCGTTGCTATACAACAAGCATATTTTAACCAATCACGGGCTAATATTCTACACTTTAAGCCCATGTTAAATTAATCGAGGATTCAATATTTAATTCGCTTTCCATAAATCGACTTTAATATTATCAATTTTTCAATTTCACGCTTGCAAATTATCCAGTTTATCGTTTCTTGAATTTTTCGTTTCGAAATTTTTCAATTTTGCAAATTTTCGATATTATAATTTTTCATTTTTCGCGTCCTCAGTTTCTCAATTTTTAATGTTTTGATTTTTCAGTTTTTTGTTTCCTCAGTTTTCAAGTACTTTATTTTTATTATTCATTTTCCCGATTTTTTAATTTTCATTTTCGTCATTTTATTCACAATTTTTCGTTTCATTTCCTTAATTTTTTCAATGTTTCTTCCGATTTTTTTCGTTCATTTCATTCTTCAAATTTTTCATTTTTCAATTCTTCGATTTTTCAATTTTCAAATTTTTTAATTTTGCAATTTCTCAATTATCTGATTTTCCGATTTTTTATTTCCAGTATTTGAATTTACAATATTTCGTTTTTTCGATTTTGTAGTTATCCTACACCTGATTCACATTATGCTTTGTTAATTTGACAGATTTGATTGCCTTTTTTTTAATAACAAGAAACTTAAAACATGTTGAAAATGGTAAATTTTTGTGGAGAAATATCTATTTTGCAATTAGGCTCCGCTCCTCAATCTAACAACGAATGAAAAATTCATCACAATTGAGATCGGGGCGGGTGGGCGGGGCTTATATTCTGCCCTTTTTTTACTCGTAGTCGTCTTCTTGTTTAATCTTTGTTTTTTCATAGAGAGTTTTATTTCAATAACCGGATGATGGTTAACACGATTTCAGTTTCTTATTGAAAAAAAAAAAGTCTTCGTATATTAATAATATAATACTCCACCCCTCAGTCTAACAGCGAATGAAAAATTCATCACAATTGAGATCGGGGCAGGTGGGTGGGGCTTAATCTTTGTTTTTTGCTTTACTATATAGAGTTTTCTTTCAACAACAGGATAGTGAACTGTTTTCAGTTTCTTGTTAGGAAAAAAGACTTCGTATATTAAGAAAAAATGGACAAAATATAAGCCCCGCCCACCCACCCCTTCTCAATTGTGATGAATGTTTCATTCAATCTTTATCGTTGTAAAAGACGTCGTATATTAAGAAAAAGTGGACAATATATAAGCCCCGCCCACCCACCCCATCCCAATTGTGATAAATTTTTTATTCATCGTGAGCTGATTTCTCTAAAAAAAATTTACCATATGAAATATGTTTTAAAGAGTAGAATTTTCTAGAGAAATTTTGATGTTACAATTATTAAACTCCGCCCCTCCGTCTAACCACGAATGAAAAATTCATCACAATCGAGATTGGGGCGGGTGGGTGGGGTTTAATCTTTGTTTTTTGTTTTTAATATATAGAGTTTTCTTTTAACGACAGGATAGTTAACATGTTTTCAGTTTCTTGTTGGGAAAAAAGACTTCGTACATTAAGAAAACAATGGGCAAAATATAAGCCCCGCCCACCCACGCCTTCTCAATTGTGATGAATGTTTTATTCATCGTGAGCTGATTTCTCTAAAAAAAAAATACCATATGAAATATGTTTTTAAAAGAGTAGAATTTTCTAGAGATTTTGATGTTACAATTATTAAACTCCTCCCCTCGGTCTAACAACGAATGAAAAATTCATCACAATTGAGACAGAGGCGGGTGGGTGGGGTTTAATCTTTGTCCTTTTTTTAATACATAGTTTTCTTTCAACAACAGAATAATTAATACGTTTTCAATTTCTTGTTGGGATAAAAGACTTCGTACATTAAGAAAAAATGGACAAAATATAAACCCCGCCCACCCACCCCTTCCCAATTGTGATGAATTTTTTATTCATCGTGAGCTGATTTCTCTAAAAAAAAATTACCATATCAAATATGTTTTTAAAAGGATAGAATTTTCTAGAGAAATTTTGATGTTACAATTATTAAACTCCGTCCATGGGTCTAACAACGAATGAAAAATTCATCGCAACTGAGATCGGGGGGGGGGGGGGGTTAATCTTCGTTTTTTGTTTTTAATATATAGAGTTTTCTTTCAACAACAGGATAGTTAACTGTTTTCAGTTTTTTGTTGGGAAAAAAGGACTTCGTATATTAAGAAAAAATGGGCAAAATATAAGCCCCGCCCACCCACCCCTTCCCAATTGTGATGAATTTTTTATTCATCGTGAGCTGATTTCTCTAAAAAAATTACCACATGAAATATGTTTTTAAAAGGGTAGAATTTTCTAGAGAAATTTTGATGTTACAATTATTAAACTCCGCCCCTCAGTCTAACAACGAATGAAAAATTCATCGCAATTGAGATCGGGGCAGGTGGGTGGGGCTTAATCTTTGTTTTTTGCTTTACTATATAGAGTTTTCTTTCAACAACAGGATCGTGAACTGTTTTCAGTTTCTTGTTAGGAAAAAAGACTTCGTATATTAAGAAAAAATGGACAAAATATAAGCCCCGCCCACCCACCCCTTCTCAATTGTGATGAATGTTTCATTCAATCTTTATCGTTGTAAAAGACGTCGTATATTAAGAAAAAGTGGACAATATATAAGCCCCGCCCACCCACCCCTTCTCAATTGTGATGAATGTTTCATTCAATCTTTATGTTTGTTTTTTTTTAATATATAGAGTTTTCTTTTAACAACAGGATAATAAACATATTTTCAGTTTCTTGTTGAGAAAAAAGACTTCGTATATCAAGAAAATGTGGACAAAATATATGTCCCGCCCACCCACCCCTTCCTAATTGTGATGAATTTTTTATTCATCGTGAGCTCATTTCTGAACAAGAAATTACCATATGAAACATATTTTTAAAAGGTAGAATTTGCTAGAGAAATTTTGATGTTACAATTAAACTCCGTCCCTCAGTCTAATTAGGAACCCATCACAATTGAGATCGGGGCGGGTGGGTGGGGCTTAATCTTTGTTTCTTTTTCTTATGTACTAGTTTTCTTTCAACAATTTTTTGGCACAAAGAACAAGAGATATAATAAAAAATATAGTGTCTATATATTATTCAATAATTTTCGACTGCTTTAATGTAACCCACGTAGAATAACTTTTTTTTCTCAAAAAACTGAAAAATGTAAAAATTAAAAATTCAAAACTCGTGAAATTTCAAATCGGAAAATTGCAAAATCTAAAAATGGCGAAACGAAAAATTGAAAAAAATGTAATTGAAAAAACAAAAAATTATAAAATCAGAGCACTGAAAAATTAATTTTTGCAGTTTTGTCATTCAATTACAATTATGTTTTAAGTGTTGTGTTATTGAAAGAAAACTCTATATATTAAGAAAAAGAAGACAATTATTAAGCCCCGCCCACCCACCCCTGTCTCTGTTGTGATGAATATTTCATTTGTCAGCTCGAAGGACAGAACTTAATTTCAAAATCCATATTTCCTTACAAGAATTTACCATTTTTAATATATTTTACGTTTCTTGTTACGAAAAGATGACTACGTATTAAAAAAAAAACAAAGGTATAAGCCACGCCCTCCGCCTCCATTTTAATTGTGACGATTTTTTTTATTAGTCGCGAGCCGGAGCAGCAAGAAATTACATGTTTTAAGTATCATGTTGCTGAAAAAAAAACGTATATATCAAGAAAACAAGCCCATGATTAAGCCCCATCCACCAGCCCCTATCTAAATCGTGATCAATTTTTTCAAAAAATTACCATTTTAACCTTTTATTATTTAAGCCCCGCCCACCCATCGTACTCAGTAGCCATAATTTTCGGTTTATTTTTCGTAATATACATTTATAAATTTCTTTCAACAACATTTTGTGCAGAGAAATATGAATTTTGCAATTAAGCTCCGCCTCCCCTATCACGACGAATAAAATAATTAAATGCGTATTTTATGAAAGGTTAGGCAAAATTTGAAAAAATATGAAGCCAAGTACGAAATATGAACATTTTCGTAAAATATGAAGCGACGGACCCTGCAAATCACATACTTTGGAAAAAAGAGAGGGTGGGTGGGCGGGGCTAGTACTTGATCAGATAAGAGTGACTTTGGCAAACGTATTTTTTACTATTTTTCCCAGACTCACTTGATTGTTAAGAGCGTACCGAAGAGTTAATCCGCCATTTTCCAGACACCGGGTATAGTTATACTTACTGAAAATATTCGTGCGGCTAATGATTCGGTATTCTCCCCCTTACCCCACGGTGACAACGCAGCAAAAAGTATCTTAAAATAGTCAAAGTCAACTTTGTAGGCCTCGTATGGTTGCAACGATGGGTCATGTCTTTCAGGTATGTGTTTCTTCTGACTTAGAATTTCTTCCCTGACTAAACTCAAAAGTTCCTAGAATGACCACCTACTATCACACACACATGACGAAAATTCGAGTACCCACCTGTAACTCTTGTTGGGTGAAGTAGCCATCACCTATCACACACCTGATGACGTTCCTCTCCGACGTATCTTCCAAATCTTGAACGACCTTAAGCCTGTGTTTCAGGCGCAGTCGTTCGATCTGCCCCGTCGTCAAAAACCCGTACTTCACGTACGCTTCATAAACTAACGTTTGCACGGAAATACTCTACAACCACACTGTGAGAAAACAACAACCCTTCAGCCACAACTAACCCTTTTTTGTTCATCGTAGTTCTTATTCCTAATAGCACCCCGACCTTCGTCGTTGTAAACCCCCATCAAATAATCCGCCAACAACTGCATCGCTTCGCCTTCGTCTCTACAAGCCAGCAATTTCTCCTGATTCCACTCCAACAACATCAACGCAACTTGAAAAATAACTTTAGCACCATCGTAAAAGAAACAATCCATCACATTAACAGCACTTTCGTAAGGCATAACGCATAAATATATCGTCAGGAACCACGACAATGAGATCATGTTGGTCATTCCTAACTGGTTCAACTTATCGTGTAAACTCGGTAAGTGTTCGGCGGTTAGATCGTCTAGGATTCCTTGGTCCACGACAGCCCCGACCACTCTAGTGTTGTAGTAGTCGGGTAGGAGATTTTCGCACAGGGTAGCGAGCAACCAAAAGGCTTCTTCTTCCGAGCAGTAGATTAAAAGGACGGATGCGACTATGTTCATAGCTTGACAGTAACCTATGCTCGGGTTGTGTAGGGCGTAGGCGCACAAAACGCGACGCAGGGCGTCGATGCCCACCGAGTTCTGGAAAGCGGGATGCTCGGGAAGGGAACGGTGAAGATCGCGCTCGATTTCGTCGTTCGCGGTGGAGCGCTGAAGAAGCGCTTTGTCCACCAGGGACCGGTAATAACCGGGATGACTTAGTTTTTCGTTAGCTGCACCTTCAACCACAATCACTGTCATCAAAACACGATCCTTCAACCCAAAATTCCCGTCTTACCTGAAAACGACATCCAAATATCCATCCGGAGATAGTCAGGGATTCCCTGAAGAACCAGCTTCGCCACTTCGGTAGTCCTATACATAGACACCCCTCTTCCATATGTGTTAAAATGCAGCTCCCACTCCTTCCCTTTGAACTGCTGCTTCTTATGTACCTCGGGAATCGGACTCAACGGGAACACTGTCATCAACGCCGGTTGACACTTCCACGGCGTCACCTCCACAACCCCCGGTGCATCCCCCGAACTCCCGCTTTTCGTGCTCAACGAATCGCAGCTGTTCGGGGTCTGGGTTTTGGCGAGCAGTTCGCACAACTTTTCCACGAGAAAATCCCTGTCCAGAATTTGGGCGAAAATAAAATTGGTTTTGTTGATTTCGTTTCGGGTCGTTACTATGATTGCCTTGTCCAGACTCTGACTGGACGCGTTGTTTTCGATCTTTTCGGCGAGTTTGACGTCACGTAAAGGTATGACTAGGCTGACTTGTGACTTCACCTGAATACAACTGAATTAGTGTGTGTTTTGTTACCGTAATGGACAACGCACCCTACTTTCGAAACAGATATAATTTTGCGACAAAAATAGGCGACCTGCGACGTGTTTTTTGTTATACGGGGTCATTAAAGTGCAATCGATTGATCCGTCGAGTTTCTCGACGGAGGGTAGCCGAAACATGAGTTTGTAAGCGTCGGATTGTGCGCGCGCATCCAGGTCTCGTTTGAGAAAAGACGCCTTTTTTGGAACGTTTTTGCTTAAAATATTCATATTATTTTGATTTTTTTGCTCAAAAAAACTTACCTTAGTTTGTGTAAGAGTTCTTTGTCCTCACTGAAGCTTCTTTTATCATCGATTAATCTATGGCAATGTGTTACACGTATCATTACACACAAAAAAAATAATAACAACGTACCTTTTCATGGCCAGGTCGACTAATTGTTCCATCAGTTTAAACGTCTCGTTTTTCGTAAGGAACATACTAAAATGGTACTCTTTTTCTCTAGTTGCTATTTTTATGGAATCGGGAAATACGATACTGTTTTTCTTACTTAATTCGATTACATCTGACCATCTTATGCATACTTTGGTGTCTAAACCTAAGATGAAAGCGTAGAAGCAACAATAATGCACAGATAGATACATCCATCCCTGCCTAGGAAGCTTACCCTTCCAATAGCTACAAAGTATGGACATTTTTGAAACTGAAATACTCGAAAATCGGAAACCACGTACCTACATGAGTAATAGTTGACGAGTTTTTCGTCTTTAGATAGGCCAAAAAGACGAATGAATTTGTCCGACGTGACTTTAAAAGATTTCGAGTCTTCATCTGCAAGAAAAAATCTGGCTCTTGTAAAAATTCCTATAATTAAAACGATAAAACTGAACAATAAGAATGTTAATGTGGAAAAGTAAATTTTATTGCCGCCAAGAACTAATTAAGTTAAACATGATTTAATTAGGTCAATGTTCGTTTTAACAAAACACAATTAAGATAAGGAAAGCGAAGTTCATTATTACGCTAACTGGTCATTTTGTGAGATTGCAAAAATAAGCCAGGATTATTAAATTTCTTTGTACATAAATGAAATACGTTGCGAACTTTCCTGTACGCAATGAATACGCATAATTAAATTTCTGGTAAAAGCACTGTGTATGACATTACTACAGGAAAATATGAAACCCAACAGTCTGTCATCAGAGCTTAAATAACATGGTCACATTGCAGTCACTTTTTACTTACTTCCTTATAATTTTTAGAAAAATTTATCGTTTCTTGAATTTTTCGTTTTGAAAATTTTCGATTTTTCAATTTTTGTTTCCTCAATTTTCAAGTTCTTTATTTTTATTTTTCATTTTCCCGATTTTTTAATCATCATTTTCTTGATTTTATTCACAATTTTTCGTTGCGTTTCCTTTATTTTTTCACGACTTCGTGTATTAAGAAAAAATGATCAAAATATAAGCCCCGCCCACCCACCCCTTCTCAATTGTGACGAATTTTTTATTGTAACTATACAGGGTGTCCCAGAATTCGCGCCATTCCCGTGAATGACATGTTCCCTGTCCCGAACTGTGCCGTAATTCGCAAAAAGAATTGTCCAGGCTTTAACCGTGTGAGAACTGGAAGGCGATTAAGTTGACCAATAGAGAGGCTACTTTTATATCCGAAGGTTTCTTGTTCAAAGTTACCTATGCCAAAAACAAAAAATCGGGTAATACTAAAGTTGAATGAATTTTTTCCGAATCCCCCTCCGTCAACAAAAGGAAACAGAAGTGTGGTTATAAATTTAATCATTTTGACAATTGTTTGTCATAAACTGTCACGAAGTTCATCACTGACCTGAAGAGACGCTTCTGCGCCAAAGATGACTGATTAATGTACACAGAGACGTCAAGGTTTACTTTAAGGCAAGTAGCATGGGACAGAAGTTATTTCTGCTGCCATTCTAGTTAAATTGTGTTTAACTGGGCTGTACATTTCATAAGAGAAGCTGTTTCATTTCATCGTAGGCAAATAATACATTTATTACTATTCTACATAGTGTAGATACCGAAGAGCAGGTATTAGAAGTCATTTTCTTAGAGCCTCGGGAATAATGTGTTGTTCTTTTTAACGAAAATTAGTACATTTTTAGAATTCACTATGCAGCATATCCCTGATATTAAGTTTATCGTTATTTCTAAAAAAGAGTACCACACGTCCATTCAAAGAACGTTATTAAGTTTACTAAAACATAAATATCGCTTTTGATTAATCGGTGCTTATGATTTTCAATAAACAGTATCAATTTTTACTGAACAGCTTTGTTGCTGATACCTAATCTAAGCAACGAAAAAACAGACGAGACTCCACTTCTCTGGTGTATTGAGATCATAGGTATCTGCTGTGGTGTCAATCATGTGGGGGAGATAATGAAAACAGAGACTTATTCAAGAATAATATTGATGTTGCATATGATTTAAAACAGTTTCTTTAAAGTTGTGCTGAAACCATATATTCCGCCGTACCTTCAAAGGAACGTCTTCCAACAACGTCGGAAGCTCTAGTCGTAGAAACTTAGCATATACCTCCCCATTAAGGTAATCAGGTAACACAAACGGCCCCACCGAAATAAACAGGAACGGAGTTTAGTGATAATTTTATCAGATGCATTAAAATTTGTACCACACTAGTACCAATGATTCCAGCCCATAGATTAATAGTAAATCGCTCCTGATATGCTCTCACCCTAGTGAGATGTGAATTTTCGTGTGCCCAGAAATGCCAATTGTGTGCATTAAACATTTCTTCTCGGGAAAATGAACATTCGTCGGTGAAAAGAATGCGCCGTGAAAAATCAGGATTTAGTTCATTTTGTCGCAGTAACCATTGAGCAAAATGTACTCGTTGCGGGTAGTCGGCTGGTCGCAGATGCTGCACCCTCGTGTAATGGTAAGGATGCAGTCTTCTCTCTTGTAGGATACGATGAGTGGTCGATCTTGAGCATCCACTCATTTGCGCTACGCAGCGGACATTTCTCCTAGGATCCGCTTCCATGTTTTCTAACACTTGCTCTTCAGCACCTACACGTACATTCCGTGGAAGCCCAGCACGGCCTTTCCGACTAGGCTGAAAAGATCCATCTTCTCTTTAGTACACTTAATAACGTTCTTTGAATGGACATGTGGTACTCTTTTTTAGAAATAACGATAAACTTAATATCAGGGATATGATGCATAGTGAATTCTGAAAATGTACTAATTTTCGTTAAAAAGAACAACACATTATTCACGGGGCTCTAAGAATATGACTTCTAATACCTGCTCTTCGGTATCCACACTATGTAGAATAGTAATAAATGTATTATTTGCCTACGATGAAATGAAACAGCTTCTCTTATGACATGTACAGCCCAGTTAAACACAATTTAACTAGAATGGCCGCAGAAATAACTTCTGTCCCATGCTACTGGCCTTAAAGTAAACCTTGACGTCTCTGTGTACATTAATCAGTCATCTTTGGCGCAGAAGCGTCTCTTCAGGTCAGTGATGAACTTCGTGACAGTTTATGACAAACAATTGTCAAAATGATTAAATTTATAACCACACTTCTGTTTCCTTTTATTGACGGAGGGGGATTCGGAAAAAATTCATTCAACTTTAGTATTACCCAATTTTTTGTTCTTGGCATAGGTAACTTTGAACATAGAAACGTTCGGATATAAAAGCAGCCTCTCTATTGGTCAACTTAATCGCCTTCCAGTTCTCACACGGTTAAAGCCTGGACAATTCTTTTTGCGAATTACGGCACAGTTCGGGACAGGGAACATGTCATTCATGGGAATGGCGCGAATTCTGGGACACCCTGTATTAATAATAAAAATAGAATAGTAATAATAACTCAGTTATACAGAATGAATGACGTTAAAATGTATAAAACAAAAAATTTTATATCAAAAATACCTTGGAACTGGCATGTGGTGCACGTGAAGCGAGCGCAGCGAGCTGTTTCAAAATACATACAAAAAATATTTTGCCCCAATTGTTACAAATTTTATTTTAGATTAAAAATTTTTTAGATACAAAAAACCTCCAACGTGTTGAAAATGATTTAAACGGAACTTTCCTTGCTTCCAAAGCACAATCAATCCAGCGTCTTAAATACGTAAACATAAAATTTTCCGTCTTTGATTTAATCGCTAAAATAAATTCTAAGAAATAAAAGTATGTTAGTTGATCAGGAAATAAAATAAAATTTGATTTTGCAAAATTTTATTTATGATCAACCCTTATGGCAAATAAAAAAAAATAAAAAATATAGATTATACAAATCCCAGTGAACAAAAATCGCGGGATTGGAACCCTCACCGGGCAGAGCACAATTCGAGAATCAATATAAACCGAAAAGATTAAAATCCAATAATATGTATTTGAAAAAAGGGAAAAAATCTAATATCGTTAAATTCATAGAGTGAAAGTTAATTTGAGGTCGCTTTCCACCTCTTGAAAGTGTGAACTTTGTCATTACGAGACTGATGGGTTACGACGTGTTTCGACTTTATTAATTAATGTCATCTTCAGGTTTTATTTTACAAGCTACTAACATGGATATTAAAAATTCATGAAAATACAATAAATAAAATTGTTAATAAAAAAGCTCGATATTTCTACGCCATTTTGTAGGCGTAATTTTTCTGAAAATTGAAAGTGAAAGTTTTAAAAATTACAAATCAAAAATTGAAAAATCTAAAAATTGAAACACTTTTTCGAAAAAGAAAAATTTGTAATAATTAAATTTTATTAAAAAAGAAAGTAATCTGAGATTCTATTATTTTTCAATATAAAATCCATCTTCCGTTCTAGCCAATAAGAATGAATGATTAAAACGAATCAGAGGGGGTGGGTGGGCGGGGCCACTGTTTTCTTTGTTTTAAATTTTAGATCGCATTTTACAGTCTTAACATAGCAAGTAGTAGCCCCGCCCACCCGCCCTCTATTTCCTTAGAGGATATAACATTTGCCAAATTTAGTCTCCACTAAGCAAATACTAAGCCCGCCCACCCGCCCCCTATTTGCTTAGAGGGTACGTCATTTGGCAAAATCTTGTTCTAGTAAGTAAATGAAAATTTGCAAATCGAAAAATTGAAGAAATAAAAAACTAAAAAATCGGAAAACTGAAAAATTAAAAACTGAAAATTCGAACAGTTTCATATCGTAAAATTAGAGAAAAAAAATTGAAAAATCGCAAATCAAAAAACTGAAGAAACAAATAATTGAAATTGAAAAAACAAAATTTCCAAAGTCGCAACATTGATATAGTTTCCCCCGTTCTAATTCGGTTTTATGATGTGTAAAAGTTAACTTCCTTAACAGTGGTAACCATGCCGTTACCATTCTATGGTATAATGCTTAAATCCTTATTTATAACTGTCCCATCACCGGCAGTAGTAATCTATTGTTAAGGAAGTTACTTTTTATACAATGGGGTACAATCATAAAAGCAAATTAAGACTGGGGAAATTATAAATCGAAAAACTAAAAATTAAGGAAATAAAAAACCGAAACGAAAAATTGCTAATCTAAAATTTGAAGAAATGACAGAAAGAAGAATCGAAAACTGAAAAGTCGTGTAAACGAAAAACTTTTAAAATTCAATTAATGTATTTGAAAAATTGAAAAATTCTAAAATGGTAAAATTCATAACGTGAAAATTTTAAAAATCATTATTACATATTAGGACTTATTTTAAATGAAAACTAAAACAATTCCAAATGAAAAATTGAAAAATCTAAAAATTGAAACATTTTTTCCTAAAAAAAAATTGTAATTAAATTTTATTAAAAAAGAATGGAATCTTATATTCTATTATTTTTCAATATAAAATCCAACTTTCGTTCTTCTCAGTTTTTAATTTGTCATTTTCAATTTTTCGTTTCCTCAATTTTTCAAGTTCTTGATTTTTATTTTTCATTTTCCCGCTTTTTTTAATTTTCATTTTCTCGATTTTATGTCACAAATTTTCATTTTTTCAATTCCTTTATTCTTTATTGTTTCTTTCGATTTTTCAATTTTTCGTTTCTTCAATTTTTCGTTTCCACAATTTTTCATGTTCCCGATTTTTATTTTCCAGTGTGGCGAATTTTTAATTTTTATTTTCTCGATTTATATCACAATTGTCCGTTTCTTCATTTCCTTTATTTTCTGTGTTTTTTTTTTTCGATTTTACAATTTTTCATTTGTTCAATTTTTCAAGTTTTCAGGCTTTGTATTTTCAGTTAAATTTTTAAATTTTTCACTTTGCAGTTTTTGCATTTCCAGTCTTCCGATTTTCCAATTTCTTTAATTTTAAATATTTCTATTTCATAATACATATTTCTTTTTTTTTTATTTTTCACTTTTCGGTTCTTAAGATTTTTCAAGTTGACATTTTGTAATTTTTCGTTCCTTCAATTTTTCGGTTTGCTTTTCAATTTGGCAATTTTTCAATATTACAGATTTTCATTTTTCGATTTTTCAGTTTCTCAATTTTTCATTTTTCCCTTTTCCAATTTTTTGTTTCCGATTTTTATTTTTCATTTTCCCGATTTTTTAATTTTCACTTTTTCGATTTTATATCACAATTTTCCTTTTTTTGATTTCCGTTATTTTTTGTTGTTTCTTTCGATTTCATAATTTTTCCTTTATTAAATTTTTCAAATTTTCAGGTTTTTAGCAATTTTTCTTCAAATTTTCAAGTTTGATTTTCACTTTGTGCATTTTTTAAGTTTTTATTATACACTTTTTCGTTTTTTTATTTTTGATTTTTCGATTTTACAATTTGTCGACTTTCAAATTTTCCAATTTTTCAATATTACAATTTCTCATTTTTCCATTTTTCACATTCTCGATTTTCAATTGTGCCCTTTTTCAATTTTCCGTCCCCTCAATTTTTCAACTCCCCGATTTTTATTTTGCATTTTCCTGATTTTGTATTCTTCATTTTCTCGATTTTATATCACAATTTTTTGTTTTTTCATTTCCTTAATTTTTGTTGTTTCTTTCGATTTTCGAATTTTTCGTTTATTCAATTTTTCAAATTTTCAGGCCAATCGATTCCAATTCGTCGATTTTCCAATTTTTAAATTTTTCAGTTTGCAGTTTTTGGGTTTCCACCCCTTTTTTACTTTTTAGATTTCTCAAATTTTCGATAGTTTTATACTTCGATTTCTTAATTTATTTTTTTCTATTTCTCGATGTTTCGATTTTTCAATTTTTTTAAATTCTGGAGTTTCGATTTGTCGATTTTTCAGTTTTTCAATTTTTAAGTTTTAGATTTTCGAATTTTTCTTTTTTGATTCTTTGATGTTTGGATTTCTCCATTTTTCATTTTGCGATATTTCAATTGTTCAATGTTTTAAATTTTAGATTTTTCGATTTCTGGATTTTTTGATTTTCCAGTTCTTCAGTATTTCTATTTCACAATCTTTCAAATTTTGACGTTGCTAAATTTTCAGTTTTCCGATTTTTCGATTAATATATATATTTTTTTATTTTACCGTTTCTCGAATTTGCAGTTTCGATTTTTCAGTTCTTCCATTCTTCAGTTTTTCGTTTTTTAAACTTTGTTTTTTTTTTCAATTTTCGACTTTTATATATATTTCGATTTGTGAATTTTTCGAGTTTTCAATTTTTTGAAAACTTGATTAATCGAGATTCCGATGTTTCGATGTTTTGATTGTCTCAGTTTTTGAATTTTTCGATGTTTCGATTTTTCGATTTACCGGTTTTTCGATTTTTGAATTTTCCGAGTTATCAATTTTCCAATTTTTAAAATTTTCAAGTTTTGACGTTTCTCAATTAATCTATTTTTTGGTTTTTTATGCTCAACTGTTGTGTGACAATTCTGAGTGATACCACCTTAAGAAAAAAAATGAGCAAAATATAAGCCCCGCCCACCCACCCCTTCTCAATTGTGATGAATTTTTATTCATCGTGAGCTCATCTCTCTACAAGAAATTACCATATGAAATTACCGTAGAATAACTTGTACTTTCTCGTTTTTCTCGAAAAAGTGAAAAATGTAAAAATTAAAAAATTCAAAATTCAAAACTCGTGAAATTTCAAATCGAAAAAATGCTAAATCTAAAAACTGAAACGTCCGACAGTTGGAAATTCGGAAAAGAAAAACTGGAAATATTGGAAAAAGTTCGGTAATCTTTTTTATAAGCAAATGTTGTTACGATTGTACATCACAAAAAATAAAAAACTGACTTTAATTAAACTTTCTTGTCAATAAAACCTCGCTGTTGCTATGCCTACTTCAAGGAAATATAATTGACAGATCTGTTTCATTATCTGAACGAATAATAACTAGAGTCTGCTAAATATAGTGAAATCTCATAAAAATACCAAATCCGTTGCACTGCTAACAAAACGTAAACATAACATTGAAATTACTGTTTATTTATTTACTTTTTGCGCCATCATTGCATGACAGGTGTTTTATTTTTATTTGAAACGTTTCAATATTATTATGTTTAAAACGATAATAATAATGCAAATATTTACCGAACATTAACACTAGAGAGATAAGTATCTTTGTTACATTGATACCACATACAGGCAGACGTTAATACTGTTGAAAAATAAACAGCACAATTTTGAAACAACGCAGACTTCTGAGCCCTAGCTGATAAGCCCGATGTACTTGAAAATTAAATTGAAGCATATTTGGATGAATCACTATATGTTCAAGTTAATTTCTTCTAACTCTTTTATCTAATCAAGTAATTACAACAAATATCGCAGCGTTATTTTTATCCATCTCATCAACCTAACCAAATGGAAATTTCGTAATATGCTTACAAATATGACGCACAAATCAAATAACGTACCTTCAACGTCCACTTCTTGGCGTGTAGCAATCACAGATTCAATTTTACAAGAGACAAAGTCCGTTATCTCTTCCTCATTATCAAAACAATGCAAGGTCGCAGAAACGTTATTAAACAACCATTCCCAATCCTTCAGGATTTCTTGTCTTGTCATCGAGCATGCTATTACTGAAACGCCTACTTAGTGCTACCACAAGAACAACCCCCTCACTTACAGTAATAAACTTCAGACGAAGGAGTCTGGTGCAAAATCCTATAAGGTGCAGGCTTGGTGTCAAAAATACTATCGATGGTGCCGACAAGAAGCGATGACAAGCCCTTGGAGCCCCCATGTCCCTTTCGATGTTGCAGTAAGAAGTAAATTGATGTTTCTTCAGTTTCCCTTGATTAAAAAACAAACCACTAGAACTAAAATCGTCGCAATGGGTTTACTTACCAAAAAGGGCTAGCTAAAAGGACTTCTTGGGGTTTGATAAACATGTTAAATCATGAGAACGCTACTCACACACATTTTAACGTCGTGTCAAACTGTAACATGATTTGTGTGGTTATCGGCGGATTTTGATTCAGAGGCACGCATTTCAGTTCCTGACTATTTCAATTCGTGTATTTAACTCTGATAAGAGCGTATACACAGATAAAACGCTTCGCTTCCTACAAAAACAGACAAGGACTGATTTGACAGCTGTTAAATGTCAACAAATTGACGCAGCGACATCTGGTTTTCGACGTGGTAACGATAAGTTGGCGCTGTTTTGCATAGAGGTCGCAGTCGTCAGTCACTTTGTTTGAAAAAGATGGCTTCTTGAAGCGGTTTCTTTTTTAAATTTTTGAATGTTTGGGACTGAAGTGAAGTGTTTATTTTGGTTGCAGATGAACAATGGGTTTCAGGAGGTGTAGTTGGACATATGGTCGAAGATAGGGCGTCGAGTGTTGCTTCCGGAAAATTATCAGTCATCCATCATGCTGTGCGATGGATCTATCGAGGTAAACGATAAATAATCGTGTCATGGTAGTGTTCAACCATTTGGTAGACCAATCCTTGTTGTGTAAAGTACAATTTATTGCATAGAAACTTCTAAAACGCATTTATGTTTTCCAAAAAAATAATCAAGAGCTCAGACTTGACAAGTATGACACATGCAAAGCCGACTTCGCGCTTATTTTTTTGGAAAGAAAACTTTCGTTTTTAAGGTGACGATGACGTTTCATTTCCCAGGCACTGGTGGACCTATAATTATAGTCATAATAACAGTAATAACCTTTATTTCAAACAGGTATTTTTCCACCAATTTCAGAGAAAATTACGTAAAATACTCGTGGAGTGTCGCCTAATGTCGACTATCATCGGAAACGGAAGACACGCATGCGTATTGCTCATGTCCCAAGATTACTTTTACTTCTTGGATGTTTTTTATGAATAAAAAGTATTCTGCAGAGTGTTTTATTTTAGTAGCTTTTATCCACCTAGTGTGTAAAGTACGATTTTACGTTTGATTTTCCATTTATACAGGGATAATCCATCCAAGTACCAGCGGAAATTGGACCTTATGTGTTTGCCATATTTATGGCGTTATGAATTTATTCCTGTTCACCTGTTCCATTGTTAAAGATAGTTTCTCGACGTTTAAATCAACAAAATTCATTGCTATTCGTCTCAAAAACAGATTAAGTATTATAACTACAAGGGCTTACATTTTGCCCTTTTTTCCTAATATGTATAGTGTAGTTTTATTTTCGCAACAAGAAAGGTAAAACATGTTTAAAATGCTAAATTTTTGTAACAAACTATCGATTTTGCAGTTAGGCTCCGCCCCTCGGTCTGACAACGAATGAAAAATTCATTACAATTGAGATAGGGCGGGTGGGCGGGGCTTCTCTTTTGGTTTTCTCCTTTAATTAATACATTTAGTTTTTGTTTTGTATAACGCGATTATTTAAGAACATATTTCACAAGGCAAAATATAAACCCCGCCCACCCACCCCGTCTCAATTGTGATGATTTTTCTATTCTTAGAAACCTAAAACACGTTTAAAATGATTAAAATTTTTGTAAGGAAATATGTATTTTGCGATTACACTCTGCTCCTCGGTCTGACAACGAATGAAAAATTCATCACAATTGAGATGGGGCGGTTGGGGGGGGTTCAATCATTGTTTTTTTTTTAATATATGGAGTTTTCTGTAAACAACAGGATAGTCAACATTTTTAAGTTTTTTGTTGGGAAAAAAAAATTGTATATTAAGAAAAAACGGACAAAATATAAGCCCCGCCCACCCACCCTTTCTCAATTGTGATGAATTTTTTACTCATCGTGAGCTGAAGCGTGGAGTTTAGTAGCAAAATCATCATTTCTCTACAAGAAATTACCATATGAAATATTTTTTTAAAAGGATAGAATTTTCTAGAGAAATTTTGAACACGATTAATTAAGAACATTCTTCGCATAGTAATTCCTCGGTTTACGACGAATAAAAAAAATCATCAAAATTGAGATAGGGTGGGTGGGCGGGGCTTATATTTTGCCTTTTCTTCTTAATATACATGTCCATCTTTTCACAACAAAAAACTTAAAAGTGGTTAAAATGGTACATTTTTGCAAGGAAATATCAATATTGCAATTGAGGCGGAACCTAAATGCAAAATCGATATTTCCATATCGAAATTTTCCATTTTAAACATGTTTTATGTTCCATGTTGGGAAAAAAGTGTACACATATTAAAACAAAAAGGCAAAATATAAGCCCCCCCCCCCCCACCCGCCCTGTCTCAATTGTGATTATTTTTTTTTATTCGCCGTTAAGCAAGGGGCGGAGCTTAACTGCAAGATACTTATTTCTTTACAAGAAATTAAAAACATGTTTTTGTGTATCGTGTTGTTCAAAAAATACCCCGCCCACCCACCCCATCTCGATTCTGATGATTTTTTTATTCTTATAAATTTAAAACACGTTCAAAATGGTAAACTTTTGTAAGAAAATATGGATTTTGCAATTAGGCTCCGCCCCTACGTCCGCCAACGAATGAAAACTTCATTACTATTTAGATCAGGGCAGATATGGGTGGGGCTTAATCTTTGGCTTTAATTTTTTTCTTAATGTACGTAGTCGTCTTTCTCGTAGAGGAATAGGGATTTTGCAGTTGGCTCACGACGAATTAAAAAATTGAGATAGGGTGGGTGGGGTTTAATCTGTTTTTTTTAATACAGAATTTTCTTTCAATAACAGGATAATAGTTATAGATAGATACATGTTTTCAGTTTCTTGTTGGAAGAAAAGACTTCGTGTACCAAAAACCAAAATACAAGCCCCGCCCACCCGCCCCTTCTCAATTGTGATTAATTTTTTATTCATCGTGAGCTTTCTCCACAAGAAATTGCCATATGAAATATATTTTGGTAGAATTTTCTAGAGAAATTTTGATTTTACAATTAAACTCCGCCTCTCGGTCTGATTAGGAATGAAAAACTTATCACAATTGATAATTATAATTGGTAGTATTTTGTACTTTTTTGTATATTTCGAAGGACGATTTTGGAAGAACCATTGGAGATATCGAAGAAATGAAAGTGAATGTGACTTTTGCGGCCCGAAATCTACAAGAAAATGTATTAAGTGAAATTTCGAAAATTTTGTTGAAAATTGGTCCAATAATAATTGGTGGTATTTTGTACATTTTTGTATATTTCGAAGGACGATTTTGGAAGAACCATTGGAGATATCGAAGAAGTGAAAGCGGATATGACTTCTGCGGCTTGAAATCTACAAGAAAATGTATTCAGTGAAATTTCGAAAATTTTGTTGAAAATTGGTCGAATAATTGGTGGTATTTTGTACATTTTTGTAAATTTGGAAGGACGATTTTGGAAGAACCATTGGAGATATCGAAGAAATGAAAGCGGATATGACTTTTGCGGCCCGAAATCTACAAAAAAATGTATTAAGGGAAATTTCGAAAATTTTGTTGAAAATTGGTCGAATAATTGGTGGTATTTTGTACATTTTTGTATATTTCGAAGGACGATTATGGAAGCACCATTGGAGATATCGAAGAAATGAAAGTGGATATGACTTTTGCGGCCCGAAATCTACAAGAAAATGTATTAAGTGAAATTTCGAAAATTTTGTCGAAAATTAATCCAATAATAATTGGTGATATTTTGTACATTTTTGTATATTTCGAAGGGCTATTATGGAAGCACCATTGGAGATATCGAATAAATGACAGCGGATATGACTTTTGCGGCCCGAAATCTACAAGAAAATGTATTAAGTGAAATTTCGAAAATTTTGTTGAAAATTGATCCAATAATTGGTGGTATTTTGTACATTTTTGGATGTTTCGAATGACGATTTTGGAAGAACCATTGGAGATATAGAAGAAATGAAAGCGGACATGACTTCTGCGGCCTGAAATCTACAAGAAAATGTATTAAGTGAAATTTCGAAAATTTTGTTGAAAATTGGTCCAATAACACTAGGCAACAAATAAAAAAAAAATAAAATTCACAGAATGCACAGTATGTAGTTAAAATTTCTTACTTCAAACTCAATTGAGGATTATACTTGAAAGAATCGTATCACATCAGGTTTCAAAATGAAAAGCGTTTATTGAATTTTTTGAAATCATACAAAATTAATAAAACAAAACTTTATTTTTCATTGAAAAAGGTCTTTTTTTTTGAAAGATTGACATTCCTATTGTAGCCAGATCTCGCAGTATCCCTCTGAAGACACCAACAGAAGTCTGCAAGCATGGGTGGATACATAAAAGCGATATTTTTACGATTAAATGCAATCAAGTGTCCCAAAAAGTAAGAAAAACAAAACACCCGTTATCTATATTTTGTGATGTGATATGAGGATAAAACATTTTTTTCTTTAGTATATGGAGTATAGCTACCCAACCTACACAGAAAAAAGTCGTGTAAATTTACAATTATTTTACTGTTGCTTTTTATGTATTTTTTTACTTAAATTTAGTAAATTTACGTAAGTTAGCAGCATTGTGCATAAAATAAGTAAACTTGTGTCACTATTTGTATTTTCACAAGTCAAATTGAAAAAACACAATACAGAATCGCAATTGTAAATGTATATTCACTTTATAAATGAATTATACTTTATAATACCGTAAATATACTAACATTTTTTACAATTACTTCCAACTTTGTAAAATAATCCAGTCTACCGGTCAAATCACATGCATACTGTGAATTGTTGATGCTCACGCAATCATTACTATAACGCTTGCAGGTTATAACAAGTTGGAGTGCATTAGTTGTGGTAATATATTTTGTACAAAATAGTGTATTTTGTTGTTAAAGGTAAGTACTTTACTATTCTGGTTTACTATTTTCCTCCAGTTACAAAAGTATACTTTCCAGGCGGATAATTACTTACTATAATTTGCCCATGTCATCTTTAATTGTTATGTTAATGCAATTTTTATCACAGGGTGATGATATGAATAATTTAAATGAAATTATCAAGGTGGCTGCGCCATGTGCAATTGAAATAGGCAAGTATTTAAAACGTCTTTGTACCTATAACATTTTAATGTATTTTTGTATTTTTCTAGAGAGCGATCCACAAACAATTTATCACGTAGTTTTAGAACGACAAGTAGTGATTCCAAGTGTTGTCACTTTAAAAGATGCAGTATCTTGGCCGTTTGGATTATATTTTATAATGAATTTAGAATATCCAGACGAAGTATCAGCAGTTTTGGAAATGATGCAAAGATTTTTTTTGAAAATACATCCAGATCAAGGATCCAAATCAAAAAGAATAACACCAACAAAACGCAAAGTAATTGGCCTTATGAACAAATTTAATTAATGTAAAGTATATACAACATCAATGACTTTGTTTTGTGTTTATGATTTTATTACATGTTTATTATGTTTTTCACCATAAAATAAAAGGTTCACTTTGTCCGACATGGTTTCTTTGATTAAAACTAGTACTAAAAATAACAATAATTTGTGTAAATTTACATATCAATTCACGGAAATTTACATACCAATTCACGGAAATTTACATACCCATTCACGGAAATTTACATATTTTATTGTAAATTTACAATCGTCAAAATTACATTTTACTTGTAATTTTACATGTTCTTTTGTAATTTCGATTTACATTCAAAAAGTAAATATCACATTCAAACTTAAAAATACATTTCGTTGGAATATTACCCTTATTATCTCGGGTTACAAATTACCTGTGATTTTCACAGTAAATTTACAAGTAAACTTTTTTCTGTGTATCACATCAGGTTTCAAAATGAAAAGTGCTTATTGAATTTTTTGAAATCATACAAAATTAATAAAACAATACTTCATTTTTCATTGAAAAAGGTCTTTTTTTCGAACGATTGGCATTCCTATTGTAGCCAGATCTCGCAGTATCCCTCTGAAGACACCAACAGAAGTCTGCAAGCATGGGTGGATACATAAAAGCGATATTTTTACGATTAAATGCAATCAAGTGTCCCATTAAGTAAGAAAAACAAAACACCCGTTATCTGTGTTTTGTGATGTGATATGATTATAAAACATTTTTTTCTTTAGTATATGGAGTATACCCAACCTCAAACACTATCTGAACTTTCTGTGAATTTTTTAGTGTTGCATAGTGTAATTGGTGGTATTTTGTACATTTTTGTATATTTCGAAGGACGATTTTGGAAGAACCATTGAAGATATCGAAGAAATGAAAGCGGATATGACTTCTGCGGCCCGAAATCTACAAGAAAATGTATTAAGGGAAATTTCGAAAATTTTGTTGAAAATTGGTCCAATAACATGTTTTTAATAGGATTTTGCTGTTAAGCCCCGCCCCCTTGGCTCACGACAAATAAAAAAAGATCATCCCAATTGAGATAGCGCGGGTGGGTGGGGTTTAATTTTTGTTTTTTTTTTTTAATATAGAATTTTATTTCAATAACAGGATAGTTAACATGTTTTCAGTTTTTTGTTGGGAAAAAAGACTTCGTATATTAAGAAAATGTGGGCAAAATATAAGCCCCGCCCACCCATCCCTTCTCAATTGTGAATAATTTTTTATTCATCGTGAGCTCGTTTCTGTACAAGAAATTACCATACGAAATATGTTTTTAAAATGGTAGAATTTTGTAGAGAAATTTTGATGTTACAGTTAAACTCCGCTGATCACAGTTGATAATCTGTGGCTTTATTTTTTCCTTTATATTGGTACATACTATACTTTGAACAACACGATACTCAAAAACATCTTTTTAATTTCTCGTAGAGAAATAAGGATTTTGCAGTTAAACTCCGCCCGTTTGGCTCACGACGAATAAAAAAATCATTACAATTGTGATAGGGTGGGTGGGCGGGGCTTCATTTTGCCCACTTTTGTTAACAAGTGCAGACTTATTACGACAACAAGAAACTTACATGTCCAAAATGGTAAATTTTTGTGGGAAACAACTTAAATCCTCCACTTTTCGTCTACAACCCCTTTAAATACGGCATAAGTTGAAAATCAAAGTTACTACATTTTTTTGTGAGTGAATAAAACTTGGGGCTATTTTCTTCGAGGAGTCGGTTACAGGTGCCAAATAGCAACACATTCTGCGGGAATTTATTGACCAGCTTGATTCTGCAGAATTCCAGAATGGATATTTTCAGCATGACGGCGCAACAGCTCAAACAAATTTGAACTTTCTATGGGAATTTTATGACGCGCGTTCTTTTATCTCCCACATAGACCATCCATCCACCTCGATTACCTGATTTGATACCTACAGATTATTTCTTGTTCCCGACTTTAAAAAACACTGTTTTTAAACAACCAGTGGATAAGATTGAAGACCTAAATACGAACCAAAGTATGTACTGAAGAAGAAGAAGAATTGTTGTAAATTCAATTAAATATGTAACTTATAATAAATAAATTGTTTTAAGACCAACGAGAAGAAAGCTAGGTTCGGCTACAGACAACCCATATTCAGATTACGTTGTAAAGTTGCGAATTCATCACGATAATGCATAGTTTTAAGTACAAAGTGAATTACGTGCTATTGCATATATTTAACATTAGAATTTATGCGTATATAATTGCCTCTACAAGAGCGATACTTCGCTATAAAAAATAAACTTGATCAAGTGAATAATTCCACCCCAGTCAACTAGGAGTGACCACACATTCGTGTTCTTGATGTTCTGATCAGTCAAGTTGTCCAGCATTCGAACTTGTAGATTTGTATGTGGTTTAGAAACTGATTGCTTTTTTCAGGGAAAAGACCTGAAATTTATTGGACTTCAGTGTACACGTAAAGTCTCAAATTCGTGTTGTACAAACTACATCTAAGGCGAGACTGGACGTGAGCTACGAAACCTTTTTCTATTTTCTTGTTGCGGACGTTACAAATATACAGGGTGCACTTTTATAATTTTTGTATTATTAATTAATAAAGCCGTCCGACTGTGGTGAATTAGATAGTCTTGTCTAGAATAAATTGTAATTATTAATTTAAAAATTATGTAAAGTAGAGGCCGTTGTTCGTTGCACCATCCACAACCAATAACCGACCACAACAGGTATTGGCATTTGATTCAGACGGATATAAGAGGAATGTTGATAATAATTTAATATAATATTCTCGGTTCACGTTATTTATGTAGCATTCACATAGAGAAACAAACATTATTTATCGTCTTGACATTAATCACTTGTCACAACCTAAAATTTATTGTCTTCAAGAATGTTCCACTGGACGCATGTTGTTCTGTATACGAGAACGCGACGTTAACACCTTTTTATTAGTGCGGTTATAAACATGATTTTATTTACGGCATTGTTTTATTCATTTTGAAATCGCGCTTTCCGCGGAGGTGAACGTCACCCCATCTTGATAAGTGTGGCTATCAACGGGAATAAGATAACTAAAAAAAAAATAATCGCGTTATATTTGTGTCGAATTTTTTTGATTTTTTACTTTTCTCACAAAATCAATCAGAGAAGCGGTGGCGGCCTGGCGGGCTCAGCTGGACGGTATTTATGGGGAGTGATTACAGGTTGGGAATGATTTAAGGAGACGGGAAAACGCCATCTTGCCGCCCGGTGATATACTGGCCGTCGACACGCCATCTGACAACTCCTAATCACAAATCAAACCTTAACAGTCCGATGCTTCCTAATGGCTCGGAAGAAGATTTGGAAATATTCTATAATATCATCTATCGATTATTACTCTATCCTGGCCATTAAAGTGAAAAAATGGTATTGTGGAGACTAGGTGTAGGTGGTTACTGTTATTGACGAAAACACAGTTAACGTTAAAAATGAACAAATTCTTCACTACGCACTAACTTTTTTAAAAACACACCACTATAAAACTGTGGTCGTCTTTCATAAATATGTCCCTCTTGGGAGTGACACACCTCGCGAAATTATTATTAGCTAATTGAAATTAGCCAACCCCTGTTGATACAAGGGCATGTGTGCATGTGTTTGGGGTGTATCAATCAGCTAGCATCACCTGACCGAGTCCGTCCATACAAATTGCCTCATTTCAGGCCCGAACAACAGCCTGCAAGACAGACGGACACATTCGACATATTTATTGCCCAGCAGTATTCTTTCTACTCATTTCCATCGTACATCCTGGGAGATCGCCTACCTAAATTTGTCTCTGCACCAAAACCTCCTCATTTACAAAAAGGACGCAAATAAAAAAGGGTGGGTTATGGGTTACATTAATGGGTTTAGTTTACATCGACGAAAACAGGGTTTAGCGGCGTGGAGGAGTAGCAGGTTTGCGGTCTAGAAGTCATAATTTTTTAATGTAAATGTGCCGCTTATCTGAGATTTTTTTCCACTATTCTGCAGAGTTTCTATTAGTTAGGGAGATCGATACACAGTAAAAGCCAAGTTTAATGATAATTCTTTAGGGATATTGATAATATCTGTCAGAATAGTTTTGACGTTTTAGACATGTATTAAATAATTGTGAGAAATGCATTGAAAACTACGCAGTTTTTGATTTTTTATTTTCAAAATAATATGAAAAGATTATTCGTTGAAATATGTAAGTATTTGTTGTAATATCGTGTAGATGATGAAAATTTGACTAATCATCCCTACCAACAATTTGTTGACGTCATCTCCAAAATTTACAGTAGTAAATATTGTTTAAATTTGATAACATAAGATACTCATGTACATGTGGTTTATGAACCCCTGTTGATTTTGTATCCTAAACATCCAGATTTTTGAAGAAAAACTCAAAATTACAACATCTTGCAATTTAATTTGAAGCTGCTCTAAAATTTTGGAAACGTTTTAGGTTATCGTAAGCATGGTAAATTGTTAATCATTTTTTTTTTCGTGTATGCCCCTCTAAAACAATAATGACATGAATTTCCAATTTTGCCGATTTAATTCATATTTACCAAATATAATTTTTGGTGATACCAAAAGTATAGTATAACCTCGATAATCCGAATTAATTGGTGAAAGGTGTGTTCGGAATAGCGATTTGTTCGGATCGGCGTATTTCCCAAAAAACAAGTTCATACACTGCTGAAAACAAATTTCAAGAAATAAACTTTAATTTTATTAAACAGAAATAAAGTACATATTCGTAACCAACGATGGATAATAATAAATACACGTGGGGATACATCTCTGAATTTTTTCAGAATTTTTAAACAACTTTTTCAAAAATGAAATTTTACACTGTACTTGCCACATAGACATAACCTACCCTCTAAGAAAATAAAAGGTGGGTGGGCCAGGCTAGTATTTGCCCAAATAAGACTTCTTTTGACAAATGACCTCTTCTAATAAAAGGTACTAGCCCCGCCCACCCACCCTTTATTTTCTTAGAAGAGTAGGTCATCTGCAAAATCAATCTTATCTTGGCAAGTATGAGGCTAATTTTTGCAAATAACATATTCTCTAAGAA